AAACATTGGCATTGTGCCTTTGTGTTCCTCCCCTAAGAATATCCTCCTTGGGTCTCACTGTGTGTGAATACCTAGAGTCCTGTATAATTTATCATGTCCTAGTATATTTTAGACCTAGCTTCTGCATATGAGAGAAAATATGCACCACTTCTCTCTCTGAATTTGGCTTGCCTCACTTAACATGATTTGTTCTATGTCCATCAATTTCCCTGCAAATAGCATATTATTCTTTGTAATAGCTGTGTAAAATTCCATTGTGTGTAGGTACCACATCTTTTTTTTATCCATTCATCTATTGTAGGGCAGCTGGGCTGTTTTCATACAGTTTGGCTTTTTTTCTGGTTTTTTTTTTTTTGGTAGGTCGTGGGGCTTGAACTCTGGGCCTGGGTGCTGTCCCTCAGCTCTTCAGCTCAAGGCGAATGCTCTACCACTTGAGCTACAGCGCCACTTCCGGTTTTCCGGTGGTTTATTGGAGATAGGAGTCTCACGGTCTCTCCTGCCCTGGCTGGCTTTGAACCGCGATCCTCAGATCTCAGCCTCCTGAGTAGCTAGGATTACAGGCGTGAGCCACCAGCGCCCAGCTTGGTTTTTTGAAGATGGTGTCTTATGGTCTTTTCTCTCCAGGCTGGCAATGAACTCTGTTCCTCTTTTTTTGTTTTGTTTTGTTTTGAGAGAGGGTCTTGGTATACAGCTCAGGCTGGCCTTGAACTTGCAATTCTTTTGCCTCAGCCTCCTATTAAGATTATAGATGTATACTACCATACCCATCTTATTTTTTGTAGGACTGACAAAATATCTATCTATAAATATATAATATATATTTATAGTATATGACATGAGACTTTGATGTATGTATGCATTAAAAAATGGCTCAATCATGTTATTTGACACATCCGTATTGATAGTAATAGCTTCACAGATGAGAAGACTGTGGTCACAGAGGCTCAACATCTTGGCCACAATCTCAGAACTGATGAGTGAACAAAAGCTGTGTTCAACCCTTCCCCTGGCTGGGTCGGAGCTGGCTCTTTTTATGTATATGTGTAAGTATGAGGATAGAGACAAAAGGGTCAGGTGAATGGTGCTAAATCTTTGAGGACTATTTCCCACTCAAAGTGGAATCCATTTACTGACTTGCAGTCAGGTCCCAGATACTACAGCATTATAGTTGTGCCTAGTTAAGAAAGAAGAAGCCATTCCAAAGTATTTCAAATAATCCTAGCACTTAGGAAGTTGAGGAAAGATGAGTGAGAGTTTCTTGGCCACACTGCCAACAGCGAGACCCTGTCTTTAAAACAACAATTAAAGCAAAAAGAACAGAGGGACAGGATGACCCATTGCAACAAAGATACCCACAAGACACTATATTGGAAATGAACTTTACAACTTTGGGTTGGGGAGGATTGAGGGAGGTGGGGGAGGAAAGGGATAGTGGGAGAACAATAAAGGAGTGTGTAACAGTGCTGGACAAGAAACGTATTCATTACCTTACTCATGTAACTGTAACCCCTCTGTACAACAATAAAATAAAAAATTTTTAAAAGAACAGAGGGAAATTGACTGTATAAATTAATTATTAAAGTGTTTGGAGAGGAGTCTGGCACTGGTGGCTCATGCCTTTAATCCTAGCTAATCAGGAGGCTGAGATTTGAAGGTTCAAAGCCAGTTTAGCCAGGAAAGTCTTTGAGACTCCATCTCCAATTAACCAGCAAACAAAACAGGCTGGAGGCATGGTTTAAGTGGTAGAATGCCAGCTATGAGGAAAAAAGCCAAGCAACTGTGAAGCCCTGAGTTCAAGCCCTAGTAATGACAACACACAGATATATATACACACACATACACTTACATGTACACACATATGCACACATGCATTATATGCTGGAAGAGAGCAGGATGATTCAGGAGGAACTTATGACTTTAATTGAATGAGGAAGTCATCAAATCATCTTCCCTAAAACCGTAAAGATGGATGAAAAGAAAAGAAACAAACCCAACTATTTCAGTAGTCTAGAGTCTTAGAGTCCACCATCTGAGCAGGATTTATGCTTCAGAACTTACAGTCTTTGTGGGAACTGTGAGCTGTGCTCAGGCTGATTCTATCCATACTTCTCTCTGTCCCCAGCTGGATGAACACAGAGTTTCTGGCAGGCAGGGCAGCCCATAGAGGGTCCACCAGCTTCTTCAACTGCCATAAAGATGACTAGCTCCTTTAGAAGCAATAGATGGTTTTCTCACCAGGGATAGTTGTTAGTGAAAGTGATTTCTCAGAGAGAAAAGAATAGAACAGGGCCAAGGTCTTATTTCTATGGGTATGAATCATGATGCTGTGCTCATATGTAGCAGAGATTGAATATTCCAAGCTAGTCACACTCTGGGTAACCCCAAGGTAGTGTACCACTAAAAAGGATACACTAAAAATGGCCCATCAGAAAGTAAACCCCAGGGAAGTTCTGAGAGCAGCTAAGACTTTGAATGTGATCTCTGATTTTTATTCAGATGAGTCAGCAGAAGACACAAGCCTGACTGGCTACAGGACCATTAGCACAGATTCTATTTGGTCACTTGCAGAATTACAAGGGCAATGAAGCCAATGCATTTTAGACCGTGTGTGTGTGTGTGTGTGTGTGTGTGTGTGTGTGTGTGTGTGTGTGTGTGTGTGTTAGTACTGAGCTATGAACTCAATGCTTTACACTCTTACTTGGATTTTTTCAGTTGAAGGCTGGCCTCTACCACTTGGACCACACCTCTAATTTTGGCTTTTTGCTAATTGGACTTCTCTTTCCCTGCTGGCTTTGAACTGAGAGCCTCATATCTCAGCCTCCCGAGTAGCTAGGATTATAAGTGGGAGCCACCAGTGCCTAGCTTTAGACCAATTCTTATCCTCCATGGATAGAAGGTACAGAGAAGGAACATAAATACCCAGTATTTCTGGGTTGGCTGTATGTGTGCCCTGAGCAAGCACTCTATTTTCTACTTCATTATCAGAATGAGTGTGGAAAACGAGTCAAAGTCTGCTCCCACTGGAAATGAGCAGAGATGAGAGGGGAGAGGGTGCTTTTACAATGTGCTCTGTGTATATTATGCGCACAGGGAGAAAACCAGGATGGCAAGAGATACTGGGTGGTACTTCTCCAGAGACAAGTAAAGGAAGTGAAGCTCAAGGTTGATGTAGGTATTTTTTTTTAACATTTTTGTTACACAATAAAGAATACAACAATACGTGAATCATGCTTTAAAGAGTCACAGGTTGACAGACCATACATGACAGTCCAACTAAGGAAAAGAGTATAAAAAAAACCCCACAGTTCAGACCTAGTACACTTAAAAACTCAAGAATATGCTGACAAAAGCCTAGACTCCACCCCCAGTGTTAGTCTACCATGAACTTGTACATATCTGAATTAAGTATTGTACAACAACTGTGATTTTTCACAACAATGCCACAGAACCTAAAATAATACTTCAAAAAATTACTTCAGGGCTAGGAAGGTGGCTCAGTGGTAGAGTGCTTGCCCTGCATACATGAGGCCCTGAGTTCAATTCTTCAGCACCACATAAGCAGAAAAAGTGGGAAGTGGTGCTGTGGCTCAAGTGGTAGAACGCTATTCTTTAGCTGAAGGACAGTGCCCAGGCCTAGAGTTCAGGCCCCATGACTGACACTAGCATTAAGTAAGAGAGCTCAAGGACAGCACCCAGACCCTGAGTTCAAGCCCTATCACCACCACCACCAACAAAAAAGTGTAATACCTACAAATTATGCTCTCACGTAACCTTCTATAAGTGACAAGCAAAAAGGAAAGCAGAAAAACTTTTCTATCTCTTCTTTAGGTTTATGAGGTCTGCATTGTTACCAGTGATGTAGTTTACAGCTTAACTTTGGATATTCTGGTTCTTTGGTGCCCATTTTGTTTGACTAGACCTGTTTTTGTTAGCTACTGGTGCTGTCAGAGGTAGACTGAAACTTTTTGCCACTGAGGAGAATATAGCAAACCAGGAGGAGAGAAGATTAAGAGGGAAGAGAAAGCCGAATCAGAAATAGTGCTCAGTTATGAATTTTAAAATAATGGGATGTACTGTACTAATCGTTATTTTCCACACTAGTGTGACGAATAATAATGCTGTGTCTCACACATCACAGCCTCTAAAGATGTGTGAGGATGCCATACCTCAGTTTGGGGAGGATTATTTATGATGTAAGTACTTTTTGAGTGAATATGGGAATGTATGTGGGAAATTTGATAATCAGTGAACCTTTCTTTCTCTCTGTGTGCCAAGTTCAGCTTCCTAAACGGGAGTTAGGCAGCCTATCAGGATCATGACCCCTCAGAAGGGAAAGAAAGACAGGACATGAGTGGAGTTGAAGGCCGGTGCGGGGCTCCTGCCACCAAGGGAGTCTCAAGTCACCACCTCCCGGGGCCTAGCAAGCCCCAGAAGGTCTCAGCAGATGTAAGGAGCAGTCCCTGCCAAGCCTGGCTTCTCCGTTGACGGGAAGCAGAGCAAAGGGGAGGCGCATCTTCACTTAAACGCGGGTGGGGCCTTCGGACTTTTTGCTTTCACCCAGGAAAACAGCCTTCTGAATGTCGGGAAATCTAGAGGAACTCTGGAGGAAGGGTCTTCTGCTGGCACCGCCCCCGACTGCGACCCCAGGGTGATTCCAGAGCGGGCTCCCGCTCTCTCTCTCCAGTGCTCAGCGCCCCCCTCCACGGACCACTAGTACCGTGGCGGGGCCCTGCGGGTAGGGCGTGGGTGCGGGGGGGCGCTGGGCTCCCGCAAGCCGGCTCCCGCCTGCGTCCCGCTGGGCCGCGAGGAATCACGGGGTGGAGGCGGAGCCACTGGGGCGGACACGCGAGCGCCCGGGGGCGGCGCCGCCGGGATCGCGGAGGCGCGGCCGGAGCGCGCGGCGGGGCCGGGCCGAGCCGGGCCGGGCCGAGCCGGGCCGGGCGGGGATCCGCTGCGCCCTCGCTGCGCCGCCACCGCGGCGAGCTGGGTGCTGAGGCGGCCGCCGGGCGGCCCGGGCGCGCGGCCCTTCGCCATGTACACCTTCGTGGTGCGCGATGAGAACAGCAGCGTCTACGCCGAGGTCTCCAGGCTGCTCCTCGCCACCGGCCACTGGAAGCGGCTGAGGCGAGACAACCCCAGGTTTAACCTGATGCTGGGCGAGAGGAACCGGCTACCGTTCGGGAGACTCGGTGAGCCCTTCCCCGTTCCCGCGCCTCCGTCCGGGCGAGGGGGTCGGGCCCGGGAGGGCGGGCGCTTTTGTTTTTCGGGTCATAAATCTTCCTCTCCTCACGTGAGGTTTGCTCGGGCCGATCTACATGCGGCCCCTGAATGGGCCGGGACCGGGGTCCGGGCAGCTCCTGACAGTGCCCCGCCCCGCCGGCCGCCGGCCCCCGGCCTCCCGGGCGCGATGCCCGCAGTCGCGCAGGTGGTGGAGCCGGGCGCGGCCGGGCTCCACCGAGCCGGGGGCTGGCGTGGCTGGAGCCGCCGTGCAGCTTTCCTCCACTAAGGCTTGCGCCCTCCTCAGCAGTGGGCGCGGGAGGGGGTCGTAGGCGTTGAGCCCGGGCCCCCAGGGTTCTGCTACCCGCAGGCTCAGAGGTACGGGCGGGGTTTTGTGTGCGTGCGGGGAGCGGGAACTTCCAAGGGACCCTAACCCGGGCAAGGGGACGGGCGTCTGATTGGAGAGCTGGCCTCAGCGTCGCCGGAGAGCGCGCTTTCACCTTTGTCCCTGTTCTACCCTCTGGAGGGACTGTCCCGCGTCCACGTGCGGGCGCTGGGCCTGGCCCCAGGTATCCGCACGCCTGCCCACGGAGAGGGGCGGGGCCGAGCCGAGGCCCGCGGCTGCTTCTACATGACGTCATCCTGAAGTTTTCCAGATCTCTTCCACTCGTGTCCCCGGGAGTGGCGCCTGGTCTCCTGGTGACCTGACTGCAGTCACACGAACAGACAGCCCTCCTCCGGGTAGCCGTGTTCCGTGCCCAAACTCACCCGCTGGGGAGACCTGATGGGGGGGGCTGGAATCATGTCTGCCTTGGAAGACCGCCCAGAAAGAGTGGTGGTCTATGTCTGGGAGAGGATAGGGTTTTCAGAAACAGGTGTAGCCAAAGATCGAGGGGGTGCAGACTGGAAAAGGCCCGTGTGGACTTGACTGGATTTGTTGAGAGAGGATCTGGGCCACCTTGCAGCTATGTCAAACTGTCATGTTTGAGGGAGGAAGCATGCAGAGGCATAACTGGTATAGTACTGCAGACAGATTTTCATTGTTATTCAAGTTGATGGTGTAGAATGGTGACTGTGCAAAGGCTGACTGGAACTCTCAGAGATCTAAGAAGACAAGGGATGAGCATGGAGATCCTCCCTTTTGTTTAATACCTCCTCAGGAAGCCCCTAGCAGGAAAATAATAATAAATTTTCCTTCCTGGAGGATTAGAAGAACTACTTGTAGTTAAGAAGTTAAGTCCTTCTTGCTTCGTCATTGTCTTTCTTGACTTACTGACTTTCTCAGGATTTGGCAGTTTCTGGCTGTTAAAAAACTTAGGGGGAATCCTAACATTGAACACACACACACACACACCAGAAATAGACACACACACACACACACACACACACACACCCCAGAAATAGAAAAAAGAAACCCACAGAAGCTGGGTCCTAAACAGATTCAGCAGATGATTGGCAAGGATTTTACTTTCCTTTTTTTTGGGGGGGGGGGGGAGGCTGGTTGGTCATGGGGGCTTGAACTCAGAACTTGGACTCTGCCCTGAGCTCTTTTGCTCAAGGCTAGTGCTTTGAACCACAGCTCTGCTTCTGGCTTTTTCTGTGTAGTTTATTGGTGATAAGAGTCTCAGAGACTTTCCTGCTTGAGCTGGCTTTGAACTGAAATACACAGATCTCAGCCTCCTGAGTAGCTCGGACTACAGGTGTGAGCCACCAGTGCCCATCATAATTTTTTAGTTTTTAAATGGATTTTTATTTGTGTCCTTTCAGCTCTGGCTATGTATATGACAGGAATTGCAGCCAGGGCTTCAATCATGGGAAGCATGTCTGTGTGCTACTGAGCTCTGGCCCCAGCCCCTTGTTCTAATTTTGCGAAGAGGTTGTGTAGTAAGAACTGTTGAAATTGGCCTTTGACATTACAGATAATGACATTTTCTCTACCTTCTTTCACTTTTGGGAAACCCTGCTAGCGTCTGGCAGAGGTAGGCATAGTTGAGGCCAGCAACAATATAGATTTCTGTATTTATTTCTTTGATGTCTATAAAAAGCAAGCTTGGAGGTGGGGAAAGTCTGGCTGTAAAAGTGCCTTGCTGTTCAAAGATGATAAACCTGTGTGTGCCAAGCAAAGAGAGGAATGTGATAAAGATCAAAAATAAGTACGTAGAAAATGACCAATGACATCTTAACAAGAAAAGGCCAAGTTGGTATTATAATAGTAGCCATTATGGAGAAAGAAGGGATAAGAATTACCAGCGGGATACTGAGGCAAAGAGGGACTTCAAGAACAAGGAAACACAATTATTCCATTTCTAACAACTCATCCTGAAATGAGAGGAAGAAAAGGCTGGGTGTGACATAGCTGTTCCCTCTTGGCAGGCTGGTACGGATGTCATGGCATTCCCCACTTGTCCCCTGTCCATTTTGAGCCTTCTCTTTTCTTGTAGGTCATGAGCCTGGGCTGGTGCAGCTGGTAAACTACTACCGCGGGGCTGACAAACTGTGCCGCAAAGCTTCTTTAGTCAAGTAAGTAAGTGTTCCTTAAGGCTTTCATTTTCCATGTTCAAACATGCTTTGAACTTTCTTCCTGAAGCACTTACGAAGAAATGTGTGATTATTGTTTTGGGTTTTTTGTTTTTTGTTTTTTTTTGTTTGTTTGTGAGGTTAGAACTCTGGGCTTGGGCATTAGCTCAAGGCTAGTGCTCTACCACTTGAGCCACAAAGCCCCTTCCAGTTTTCTGGCAGTTAATTGGAGATAAGAGTCTCATGGATGGGCTGGGAAGGTGGCTCTGTGGTAGAGCGCTTGCCTTGCATGCATGAGGCCCTGGGTTCAATTCCTCAGCACCACATAAAGCAAAAGGAAAAAAGCCAGAAGTGGCGCTGTGGCTCAAGTGATAGAGCGCTAGCCTTGAGCTGAAATGCTGAGGGACACTGCCCAGGCCCAAAATTCAGGCCCCCTGACCAGACCTCCCCCCAAAAAACAAAAGTCTCATGGACTTTTCCTGCCTGGGCTGTCTTTGAACTGTGGTCCTCAGATCCCAACCTCCTAAGTAGCTAGGGTTACAGACACGAGCCACTGGCACCTGACAAGACTCTCCCCCCCCCCCCCTCTCTCTCTCCCCCTTCCTTCCTTCCTTCCTTCCTTCTTTCCTTCCTTCCTTCCTTCCTTTCTTTCTTTCTTTCCTTCTTTCCTTCTTTCTTATGTCTGTTGTGGGGCTTGAACTCTGGGCCTGGGTGCTATCCCTGAGCTCTTGAGCTATAGGCAAGCGCTGTACCACTTGAGCCACAGTGCCACTTCCAAAATGTGTGATTATTTAAAGGGAAAAAATACTTTTGCTATTTTAATAGCCAACAGACATTCATGCTGAAAGCTTTCTTCAGGTTGCTTTGATGGCAGTTGAAAATGTTGCTGTGCAGTGCTTGATAAAGACTATCTGTCTCCTAGGTGAAGCTCTGCAGAGGCAGGGCCTGACTCAAAGCTTCTTGCATAAGGGAAAAAAGGGTTCTTGCACAAACACATCACAAAACCAGTACATCTGGGCAGGGCAAGGCCAAGTAAGAGCCAAGCAAAGAGGTGATTTCAGCTCAAGTGTCACTTCTGGAGCTCCGGAGTGAATGACATTTCAAAGGTGTCACAGCCAGAAGTAAAGTGATGGGACTTCTATGCTCCAGAATCAGCCAGTCATTGGCTATGGGGAAATGTGGAGAACCTAGCTTTCTTAGTGTTTCTGGTTCCTGGGGAAGGCCACGTGTAAGACCTCAATGGCCAACTCTCACTGCAGCTGGAGGTCTGTCAGAGAAGATACTTGAGCAAGGTATAAGAGCTCTATTCTACCATCTATCTCTGAGTAGTTGGCCTATGGCCATATACCATGACAACAGCATACAAGGGTGTGAAGGAGACAGTATCACACAAAGGCTAAGATCAGCAGCTTAGGTTTAACCTCAGCTGTCATCTTAGGGTGGGTTAAATCTCAGACCTCCCTCATAAGACAGTTATGAGTATTAAACAAGGAGCCACAAAGCAGACATAGCACAGATGCCTGATGCATATGCAAGTTTGTAGAAATGAATATAGTGATAGTAACTACTTCAGGTTGTTGAGTTAAGAGAATCTTCTTTTTTTTTTTTTTTTTTGTAGTCATGGGGCTTAAACTCAGGACTTGGGCACTGCCCCTGAGCTCTTTTACTCAAGGCTAGCACTCTACCACTTTGAGCCACAGCTCCACTTTTGGGGGTTTTTGGTGATTAGTTGGAGATCAGAGTCTCGTGAACTTTCCTGTCTTTTTTCTTTTTTTTTTTTTTGGGTCCGGTCGCGGGGCCTAAACTCTGGGCCTGGGCGCTGTCCCTCAGCCCTTCAGCTCAAGGCTAGCGCTCTACCACTTGAGCCACAGCGCCACTTCCGGCTTTTTTCTTTTTGCTTATGTGGTGCTGAGGAATCGAACCCAGGGCCTCAAGCATGCAAGGCAAGCACTCTACCACTGAGCCACCTTCCCAGCCCCTCTTTTTCTTTTTGCTTTGAACTGTGATCCTCAGATCTCAGCTTCCTGCGTAGCTAGGATTATAGATATGAGCCACCAGGGCCTGGCTGAGAATCCTTTAAAGCATGCCTGTCTCATAGTTTGGAATGTATCAGTAAAAATAGTTCTTCCTATAACTACTATGGATGTCACTGCTATTACTGCTAATCATTTCTACTGGGAAACACCAAGTATGAGATCCCAGAGGCCAGGATTGTCATTTGGTCTGTAGTATTCTTTGCATATAACTGATAAATATTTATAGCCAAGCAGATTGTTTAGCAAGGAGACAATGAGAGATGTTCTTTCCCTGGTAACACTCCATTCTGCACTAAAAGTATTTATAAAACCCAGTACACACAGGAACATTTCCATTTTTGCTTTGGTGTATGTGTATTTGTCATGGGGCTTAAGCTCAAGGCCTTGCGCTGTCACTTAGTTTTTTCATTAACAGCAGGCACTCGACCACTTGCTACATCTCCTTGTCTAGCCTTGTTGTGGTTGGTTAAAGATAAGGGTCCAAAGCCTATCTAGGCTGGCTTTGAAGCATGCTCCCCAAATCTCAGCCTCCTGAGTAGCTAGGATTACAGGTGTGAGCCACCAGTATCATTTCTTTTTGTTCTGCCTTTTTGGCCCTAGTAACTTTCCCACTTCTCTCTATGATGGGTATTCATGATTCAGCAGAAGTTCTCCTTTAGGAGAGTGAAGCTTTCTGAAGTTTTCTAATTACCTCTTTGCATATTTAGAATCTAAAAGACCGTTTGAGTAACATCAGGAGTAGGAAGTGGGACAGGATTACTCATTGAAATATTTATATAAAATTCTGTTTCTTCTCTGGATTTTTTGTTTAAAGACAAAAGTAGAACTTCACTTTTATAAATAAAAAGCAGAGGATGCTGTTAAAAATAATGCTGAACAAGCCAGGCATCAGTGGCTCACGCCTGTGCTCCTCACTTCTCAGGAGGCTGAGATCTGAGGATCGCAGTTCAAAGCCAGCCCAGGAAGGAAAGTCCATGAGACTCTTTTTTTTTGGGGGGGGGGGATGAGGGGGGGGTTAGTCGTGGGGCTTAAACTCTGGACCTGGGCACTGTCCTTCAGCTCTTCAGCTCAAGGCTAGCGTTCTACCACTTGAGCCACAGTGCCACTTCTGATTTTCTGTGGTTTATTGGAGATAAGAGTCTCAAGGACTTAACTGCCCGAGCTGGCTTTGAACTGCAATCCTCAGATCTCAGCCTCCTGAGTAGCTAGGATTACAGGCTTGAGCCACCAAGGCCCGGCTTTCCATGAGCTGCAGAGCTCAGGAACAGTGCCCAGACCCAGAGTTCACCATGAGCTTGGGGGAAATGCATGGTGATAGTGCCCTTTCCTTGGATGGTTGTGATGTGACATGGTCTATGATGATAAATGGTGAAAATGGTGATGTGACTCATGGAACCTGGAGGTTGTCTCCTTCCTCCCTGCTTCCTTTCTTCTCTTAATTCTTCCAAGAAGCTGTTGTATCCCAAGAGAAAATGATCAACTTTATCAGTTTGTTACCCTCTCATGGTTTTGTATGGCTAAAAAAAGGACTCTGGGGAATTAGAAATGTAATCTCCCTTAATTTATAGGACAAAACAGAGATCATAGATCAGCTGTGTTGTCCAAGGCTACAATAATAGTAAGCCAGAGTGCTTCTCAACTCTACAAATAGACCCCATAGGCATTGTAACTAGACAGCCCTCCCAGGGCTTTTCAGCGCCTCACTAGGGTTTTAAATTGGACCCTGTATGCCCTTCTTCCTATCACATCAGGAGGTTCAGAAATTCATCAAGGTCCCAGGGTACTCAAGGGTTTTTCTTCTCTTGGCAGAATTGGGTGCTTTCTTTTCTTGTGAGCATTACTCGCTTGTAGATGTGAATAAAGCCCCATTTGTAATTTGTGATTGCTTCCCAAATGAGCTGGTTGAGGGATTGGAACAAATGCAAAGGACCTTTTGCAGTCTGGTATTGGTTCTATACAGGAAATGCAGCTTCCAGGTGAAGGTCATCTGACAGAACAGTGCTGTCCAACAGAAATTTAATGCTAGCCACAAATGTAACTTTAACTTCTTAGTAGCCACATAAAAGTAAGTGCAGCAAGATTGATGCAATTAAATGTATAATCTAAGCAAAAAAAGCCAAGAAAATCCAGGTACTGATGGCTCATTCCTGTAATCCTAGCTACATAAGAGGCTAAGATCTGAGGATCATGGTTCAAAGCCAGTCAAGGCAGGAAAGTCCTTGAGATTCTGATCTCCAATTAACACCAAAAAGCTGTGGCTTAAGTGGTAGAGTGCTAGCACTGGGCAAAAACCTTAGGGACAACACTCAGTGTCTTAAGTTCAAGCCCTTGGACTGGCATCAAAAAAAAATCATGATCTATTTTGCTTCAGTAAATAAGTCCAATATATTGGAGTAAGAGTGTAGCTCAGGGGTATAGACCATGTCTCCTGAGCGTAAGGCCCTAGATTTCATTCCAGCACTATAAAAATAAAAAAGGCAATAACAAAACCCCCAAATACTGTCCTTTTGACATGTTACTAAAAAAGTAGTACTTTGATATTTTATATATTCTTTTCAGGTCTTCAAAATATGTTTTTTTTTTTTCATTTGTGGCATACTTGAATTCAAACCCTAAATTTTCTCTGGAAACCCTTGGTTTGAATTTACATTTCACAAAAAAATATAGTTTCAAGAGCATATTTCCATACCTGGGCAGCTCTAATATATGTAAAAGTTTTTTAGTAATGGAATCAAGTATCAAAATCATTTTTCTTCATTATTTGTGCATTAACAAATTCATTGTTTTTAGAGAACTTAATTTGACTTTGAAACAAAAGCGTGCCTGCCTGCTGTCTTGAGGCTTGACCTCAGGACCTGGCCACTGTCCCTGAGCTTTTATGCTCAAGGCTAGTGCTTTACTTATGGCTTTTTGGTGGTTAATTGGAGATAAGAGTCTCATAGATTTTTCTGCCCAGGCTGGCTTTGAACTGTAATCTTCAGATCAGCCTCCTGAGTAGCTAGGATTACAGGTGTGAGCTCCTGATTACTCTGCCATTTTTTTATTTTTTGATTATTGAATGAAATAATGGCATTTTGGGAGGAAATAATAATATAGCCAGTATTCCTTCTACCAAGAAATACAAGCTGGAATCAACAGTAGAGTAAACCTTTGTGAACTCTTTCATCTCTCGTCAGTGCGTATTGACAAAGAATATAGTGCCATTAAATTCATTGTCTTCTGTTTCTTTCAACAGTTTCATGAACTGGTGAATAATTGTAGCATCTTCAAGGATGCTCTGAACCATTTCAACAATTCTACCCAGGACACTATGTATTTAGCTTCAAAAAACAGAGGAAACAAATGTTTCCAATATGTGTCCGATAGTAGGATGTAGTTAAGGAAACACTGTTCAAATCCCAGTGAATTTACCTCAATCCAACCTACTTGAAGTCCTGTCCAACATGATAACAAGCAGTTTTTCACATATAGTTTAAATTCTTTGACTGTTATAAAATATCAAAATATGCTCATACCAAGAGTTTGATTTTTTTAGGCTGTAATTTGACAACTTTTCCATGTAAGCATGCCCCAAATATTAATCAGCATTAATTAACACCTCTTATATTTAGCTTACCTAAAACTAAAGAAAAAAAGCTAATATTTTTCTAATTTTGAATGTTGTTTTGTGACAAAGCTCACCTGGAACTTGCTATGTTGCTCAAGCTACCCTCAAACTCACCATCTTCATCTCTCAGCATCCTTAGTGTTGGGATTACAGCAAGCACCACCATACTTCATTTGAATCAATCAGTCTTTGATATTCTTAGGAAGTGTTTTAGTCTATGGCAAGTTGCCACTTAGCTAAAGGTTGCTTTTAATAAAATATCTTTTTAAATCTTTTCTTGCAGTCTTTCACTGTATTTTCATGTTTTTGTATGAAAAATCTGAGCCATTTTATAGTTGGTTGGAATTGCAAGTTTGATTTGCTAATTTTCTATTACTGTAGTATCTTTGTTTTACATTTCAAAATCTGTCCATACTCAGAGAGAGGAATGGTGGGAAAATACAGTCATAATATAGCACAGATAGGAAAAGGGAACTAGGAAACTTGAGGAGATAATGGGATGGTATAGGTGGTGGGTGGGGAGAATGATGAATGATAGAAGGGATGACCAATCAAAATGTTCCATATACATAAACGGACATGTTAAGTTGAACCTGTACAACTCTCTGAAGATAATAAAAAGAAAAATTTTTTAAATTTGTCCATACTGATTTTTTTTGGCCAGTCATGGGGCTTGAACTCTGGGCTTCAATTCTGGGAGTTGTCCTTGAGCTTTCCAGCTCAAGGCTAGTGCTCTACCTCTTGAGCCACAGCACCATTTCCAGTTTTCTGGTAGTTTATTGGAGATAAGAGTCTCATGGACTTTCCTGCCTAGGCTGGCTTTGAACCATGATCCTTAGATCTCAGCATCCTGAGTAGTTAGGACTGTAGGCGGGAGCTATACTGTGCCCAGCTATACTGATTTTTTAACTAGGAAAATAATTATATTCCACCTTAAGGATCACTTAGGATTTGCTAGCACTGTAACTCATGCTTTGCAAACAAATACATCATAATGTTTCAGAAAAGCAGGTTTCTTTGAATTGAATCAATCTATTGTCCCTGAATAGAACACTGATGTGTTTGTGTGTGAGGTTAGAAATTGCCTGACATGTACACAGCAATACATTTATAAAGTAAAATAGCACTCTACTGAGCTAATGAGGTTGTGCTTAATTAAAAACGTGTTTTTATAGTGATCGATATTCAAATTAAAATTAGATATAATTTCCAAGTCAGTTCACACCAGCCACAGTTTAAGTGCTCAGAGGCTGTCAATGACTTGTGGTCACTATATTCCGCAGTACAGAGTTGGAACATTTGGTGAGTTAGAAATTTATTTATTTATTGTTCCCTTGAGTTTAAGTACCTTTCAGATTTTGTTGGCTTGAACTTTAAAATGGCTTTATTGACATCTAAGTTCTAGATACCTGTTCTAGAAGAAGGGGAACAGATTAGGGTTTAGTGTTTAGTAGGCCTCCCTGTTTCTGCTTCCTTGGGGAAAGGGCAGGGCTAGAGTTTGGACTTGTAAGTTCATGGCTTGCATCCTCGTTGATACTGCCCTTGTGATTTGGGGTGTTCACCTACAAGGGACCAGATCCTCATGTGTTTCCTGGAATTCTCAGACCTCCTCCAACTCCAGAGTCTGACTGGAAAGTAATCATAGGGGAAGCCTTTTTTTTTTTTTTTTTTTTGGTGGAGGGGTAGTGGGGGGAGGTCCTGGGGCCTGAACTCGGCCTGGGCGCTGTCCCTCAGCTATTCAGCTCAAGGCTAGCACTCTACCACTTGAGTCACAGTGCCACTTTTGTTTATGTGGTGCTGAGGAATCAAACCCAAGGTCTCATGCATGCAAGGAAAGCACTCTACCACTGAGTCACCTTTCCAGCCCCATGGGAAGCCTTTTTGTTTGAGAGCTTTGCCCAAGGCCTGATTTTCTCTTGGAAGTAGGAGTTCTAATTCTCCATGTCCACTGGTGTTGCATGTTTCATTAGAAAATTTTCTTCAGGGGGGTGTGGGAGGGAGGATAGGAAGGGATGGGAAGGGGAAACAAAGGGGGAGGCTACAATGCTTGATAAGAAATGTACTCATTGTACTCATTATCTTGCCCATGTAATTGTAACCCCTCTGTACAGTATTTTCACAATAAAAAAAAAAGAAAATTTTCTTCAATATTCTGTCACTGAAGCCAGTCTGAGCTAAAAGCAAGAAATGATGGACTTAAATGATGGTATTTAGTCAGGCACTGGTGGATCACGCCTGTAATCCTAGCAATTTAGGAAGCTGAGATCTGAAGATTGCCTTTTTGGAAGCCAGCCCAGGAGAAAAGTCCTGTGAACTCTTATTTCCAATTAACCACGCAAAAACTGGAAGTGGAGCTGTGGCTCAAAGTGTTTAGAGTATTAGGCTTGAGCAAAAGAGTTCAGGGACAGTGCCCAAACCCTGAGTTCAAACCCCATGACTGACAAAAGAAAAAAGGAAAAAAAAATAGTCTTTAGATAATTCAGATTCCTAACCAGCTTTTTCTCCCCTGGAAAGATGGGCCAAGATAGTACTTCTTTTCTAGTTATTTGAACATTTTCCTCTATTCCCCACCTCTTTTTCTTTTCTTATCTGTCTGTCTTATCTGTCTTTTTTTAAATCTGTCTTTCTTATCTGTCTGTCTTTCTTGTCTGCCTTTCTTTCTTTCTTTCTTTTTTCCTTCCTTCCTTCCTTCCTTCCTTTCTTCTTTTCTTCCTTTCTTTCTCTCTTTCTCTCTTTCTTCTTTGTGCCAGTCCTGGGGCTTAAACTCAGGTCTGAAGCACTGTCCCTGAGCTTTTTTGTTCACAGCTAGTACTTGGGCCACAGCTCTACTTCCAGTTTTTTTTGCTGGCTAATTGGAGATAAGAGTCTCCCAGACTTTCCTGCCTGGGCTGGCTTTGAACCACAACCCTCTCAGACTTCAACTTCCTAAATAGTTAGGATTACAGGCATGAGCCACTGTTGCCAAGCCTCACTTCATTTTTTAATATGAATCTGGTTCATGTATATTGTTTTCAACAATCTATTTTGTTGAAAAGGTATTGGCTCAAAATTAAACTGAGTTTCTACAGAGGTATATTTTAAAAGAGCCAAAGTTTTCATCATTAAGTCTTTTGAAGTAACAGGTATTTCTTCAGCATTGTACCTAAGGGAGACCAAGAACAAGTAGAAGAGTAAGGAAGAGAACAGGCCTCTTTGAAAAGCTTTTGAGGAAAGCAGTAGCCTTTCTGAATAGAGTTTCAGAGCATAGTAAGAAATAGACTGACTTTTTTTTTTTTTTTTTTATCTACAGGCTAATCAAGACAAGCCCAGAACTCTCCGAGTCATGCGCATGGTTCCCTGAATCCTATGTGATTTATCCAACGAATGTTAAGACCCCAGTTGCTTCAGCACAGAATGGGATCCAGCCACCCATCAATAACTCAAGGACAGATGAAAGAGAATTTTTCCTGGCTTCTTATAACAGAAAGAAAGAAGATGGAGAAGGCAGTGTTTGGATTGCAAAGTCATCAGCTGGAGCCAAAGGTGAGTAGCATTGCCAAACTCTTCTCTTTGTCCCTGTGAGTTTTGTCAAGCTTTGTTCTTTGGCACATTAGAATTCAATTCTGTATTTAGATGACTGATTCTAACTGAATCACTGGAGGTAGAAATCACAGCTAGTTGTGAATAGCATCTGTAGCACCCTGATGGTTTCTTTTTAACCTAGACCTTCCCTTGAAGCTCTAGATCCAAGAGGACCTTTGCTATATCTAAAAGATATTTCAAAATTAATGTATCTGATCAGAGCTCTTCATTTCCTTTCCAATTTTGCTTGCCCCAACCTTTCCACTTTCACTATTCCTACTTAGCTTGTGATTCTACTATTCCTTCAGTCTCTGAATAATTCCTCTTTGACAGCTCTTTTCCTTATTCACTACTGTCTTGCTGGTGCTACCTTTAAAACATACTCTGAAATAGACTTTTCTTCATATTTCCACTGCTCACACTCAAAAATCAAAACCATCATTCTCTTTGTTCTGTGACTGCAGTGCCAATTCTCAGCCAGCTCTCCTCCACCCAGACAGTGGTGTTTCAGAAACATAAATCTGATCATGTTTCTTCCTGCTTAAGACTTACCAGCTGGCTCTTAATGTAGTTAGAATAACTTTAGCTTCCTGATGGTAGCCTACTACTGGACATTTCTTCATATTTCTGATCTTATCTCTTTCTATTCTTGTCCTTGCTTACTGTTCTGTAGACACAAAGTCTGCCTTGGGTCCCTCATATACTCTAAAATTGTCAGTGTGTCTGGAATGTGCTTACATAGAATTGTTTCTATTTCAACTCGAAGCTTGCTATGTCAGAAAGACATTTCTAGTCTAAAATCGCATGTACAGCTGTTGCTTCCTTTTTTACTTCTGGCACTAACTACTTCCCAGGACTATATTGCATATGTGTCCATCTCCTCATCGTGTTCAAAATTCCATGTAAACACAGACTGTCTATCTTGTGTCCATATGCTCCTCCCAGGCACTCAATAAATGTGTGTGAATGAATGCATGAATGACATGAAGTTTATAAGAACAACTCAGGCTTAAATAAAGGCACCTCTCAGTATAATAAGCACATGAACAGTTTCTCCTCCTACCCTCATACGGTCTTCTTTTACAACCATTCCACTTTGAACTTGCTTCTCTTTTTATTTACTTGGAAGACCACCTGGCCATTATTTCTCATTTCTGTCCTTGGTCAAGTAGACACACTTTTTTTCTACCAACTATCTTGGCATTACCAGGAATCTTCTACAAGTGGAAGAATGGGACTCTTGCCACAAGCCAGGTACTTCACCTATTTTTCTTTCCCCCTTGCAATTTCTTCTCAAGTTAAGGCCTCTGGTTCTGATGATACATGGAGGAATTGGAGGAGGAAATAGACATCCACAGTATTCCAGGTTCCTTCTGTAGGTTTGAACTTGGAGCCAGGTGGGACTCTCTAAGGACCCTCGCACAGTCTCTGGACACTCACAAGGCAAGACAGAGGACACTAAGTGGTAGGGTTCAGTAAAGAGAAAATAAAATGTTGAACTGAATTTTTGCTGTAAGAGTTGAGAAAAGGAAGTGGAAATGTGGCTCAAGTGGTACATCACCAGCTTTGAGCAAAAATGCTAAGGGAGCTAGCCATTGGTTGCCCATGCCTATAATCCTAGCTGCCCAGGAGGCTGAGATCTAAGAATTATGGTTCAAAGCCCTGAAATTCTTTTTTTTTTTTTGGGTCCGGTTGTGGGGCCTGAACTCTGGGCCTGGGCGCTGTCGCTGTCCCTCAGCTCTTCAGCTCAAGGCTAGTGCTCTACCACTTGAGCCACAGTGCCACTTCCGGCTTTTTTTCTTTTTTGCTTATGTGGTGCTGAGGAATCGAACCCAGGGCCTCATGCATGCAAGGCAAGCGCTCTACCACTGAGCCACCTTCCCAGCCCCGGAAAGCCCTGAAATTCTTATCTCTAATTAATCACCAAAAAAGCCATAAGTAGAACTGTAGCTCAAGTGGTAGAGCTCTAGCTTTGAGCACAAAAGCTCAGGGACAGGTCCCAGACTGCACCGAAAAAAGGGGGAAAAAAAGCTAAGAGGGAGCATGAGGCCCTGTGTTCAAGCCCTAGTCCCAACACACACATCCCCCTCCCCCCCCACACACACTTGAGGAAATAAGTGGTATATAATATATATTTACATATTTGGGGACTACAAAATGAAACCAATGAACTACTTTTTCTCTAGTTAAACAATGTTTATTCATTCCTTCTATGTGCTTAGTATAGCTGGCTCAGTCTTCAGACTATACTCACTGTCATACCACTGTCCACCTTTACCACTTCTGTCTCTGATCTGCGACCACCTTCTTCTCCCCTGCAGTATTGCTTCCTATCTCCTGCTCTGGACCATTTGCCAGAGGTTACATACAACTCGGTACTTAGAGATGCTGTTCCAGCACAGTGACACCGTGTCACCTCTGTGCCTAGCACTACTTCCCATGCCAGGATAGCAGTTGGCAACCAGCAGAGACTTGGTGTATGGACACAGTGAAAGAATGGATGGATACTGGGAGATAAAAGAATAAAAGAGACAGACATGATCTTATGCCCCCAGGGACCTACAGTTTTGACAGCAAGAAGGGCTAATGATGCACCTATTTCCAGAAAAGCTGAAGTGGGAAGCAAAAGCGGGTAAATAATAACCTTCTTAAAGACCCCTCAAAAGATCCTTTGCAATTTTTCTGTTTAGTAAGTGATAGAAGATATATAGTTAAAAATCCATGGAAAAGCCAGGTGCCAGTGGCTCACGCCTGTAATCCTAGCTACTCAGGAAGCTGAGGTTGAGGGTTGCAGTCAAAGCCAGCCTGGGCAGGAAAGGCCATGAGACTCTTATCTCCAAGAAACCACTCAGAAAACCTGAAGTGGCGCTGTTGCTCAAGTGGTAGAGCGCTAGCCTTGAGCTGAAGAGCTGAGGGACAGTGCCCAGGCCCAGAGTTCAAGCCCTATAAACCTTTTCCTCCCCCCCCACAAAAAAAAAATCCATGGAAACAAGCTATACCAAGTATTCAAAAATGACTAAGTAAATATGAATTTTATGTATCATTTACAGCTATAGGATAAGAAAACAAAGAGTGATGATTTTGCTGAAGGTTTGTGGCTAACTTCTCTGGGTAGTGATGATGGGATGACAGACTAGGGGCCATAAAGGACTCCTGATCGCACACTGAAAATGCACTCAAGGAAATATTTATATACTATCCATTTTTTTATGTTGATACTGTGGCTTGAACTCAGGGTCCAAGGACTGTCCTTTACCTTTTTTTCTCATGGGTAGTGCTCTACCACTTGAGCCACAGCTTTATTCCTGGCTTGTGGTGGTTAATTGGAGATAAAAGTCTAAGGAACTTTCTCTGCCTAGTGGGCTAGCTTTGAACTATGATCCTCCTGAGTAGTTAGAATTACAGGCATGAGCCACTAGCACCCAGCTCCCAAGGAGATATTTAAAAAGAAATAAAAGGGTCTACAGCAAAGACATCTGCTATTAAGTTGTCTGTAAAATTAAGATTTAGAAACAATCCCACTATCTAGCCATTAGTAAATAAATGTGTGATTGGGTTTTTTTTACTCCCACAGGATGGGATATTTTCAAAATTATGAAGTGAATATGAATATGTGAATATCTTACAGGTTCACTATAATTGAACCAGGCTTTTCTTCTGTATAAAGAAAGGTCACATGAAAAAAAAATTAAAATACTTAACATGAGGAAATAAAATTGTGGTTAACTTTTCCATTTCACACTATGGCACACCTTAAAAATGGTACTTTTTTTTGGTCGTGGGGCTTGAACTCTGGGCCTGGGCACTATCCCTCAGCTCTTTAGCTCAAGGCTTGTGCTCTACCACTTGAACCACAGCACCACTTCTGGCTTTTTCTGTTTATGTGGTGCTGGGGAATTGAACCCAGGGCCTCATGCATGCTAGGCAAACACTCTACCACTGAGCCACCTTCCCAGCCTGGTACATTTTTTTAAAAGTTATAAAAATGTGTCTATCTCTGCCTTTTCCCCATTTTTTCCCCCAATGACTAGCACTAAGTATATTAATTTTCAGTAAGAGTTCACACAGGAAATATAAGGAAAATAAGGTTGGTGCTCATGGTAGAGAATGAGGTCAGATGGTGTTGAACAAGGAACAGTTGTAGGATGTCAGCAGGAGAGTAGTTGTTCAGGATAATTGTTCTAGAAGTCATATTTGGGATCATACAGAAGAGGGGAGAGTAAAGTCTTAAGAAGTAGCAAGTAGACATAAAGAGGAATCTTAAGATCTGAATGTGGTTTCTGAGGAGGACAAAATAGAATAGGAAAAGAGAAGAGGTAGTTGATTTGCAGTTTCTTTATTGAAAGCCTAATTGGTGGAACCCCCTCCCTCCATGCAGAAGTGGAGTCATGGAGAAGAGGTTGACTTTAAGGAAAGAAGGATTGTTGAGTTAAGAAACTAAGTATAGGGGGACAAAAAAGGAGGGGGTAACAATACTCAATAGGAAATGTAGTCATTACCTTACTCATGTAACTGTAGCCCCTCTGTATAGTATCTTTACAATAAAAATATTTAATTTTTAAAAAGTACATCTCAGAAAAAGAAACAATATCAGTTCATTTATGCTGAAAGTATGAGACCAGTAGAGATAAGCTATAAATCCAAATCAGAGGTGGCAGAGTACTAGCACCAACCTGGGCATTCAACCCTGTTGCATAATATAAGACCAACAGAGAAAAAATTAATTGCTGCTGGGTGACCGTGACTCACACCTCTAACATAGCTAGTTGGGAGGCTGAGAACTGATTCAAAACCAGCCCAAATCAAGGCATGAGACTCTTATCTCCAATTAACCAGCAAAAAGCTGAAAATGGAGCTGTGGCTTAAATAGTTAAGCACTAGCCTTAAATGAAAAGGCCGGAATGGTAGTGTGGCTCAAGTGGTAGAGCGCTCACCTTGAGCTGAAGAGCACAGGGACAGCTCCCACGGCTAGAGTTCAAGCCCCACGACTGACCAAAAAAAAAAGACAGTGTCTTAAATGAAAAGGCTAAGAAATATTGCCTAAGCTCTGAGTTCAAGCTCCAGAATCAGCACACGCTAACACACAAACACACACACACAGTTTCCCTATCTGTAGACTAACAATGACTAACAATGACAACAATCATAACACAGTACCACTTACACTTTACCTCTGTGACAATGAGATCTTAAGTGGAAACCACAAAATATGTACATTTGCTGAAGATTACAAAATGAGTATAGAAGAGGTCAGAGAGCCTTAGAGAACTCCATAAACAGTAAAGATGTCAGTTCACCCAAAACTGGTCCACAGGTTTAATGTACTTCTAATTAAGACCTCAGCAAGGTTTTCATGGAGCTTCTACATAGAAAATCACAGCCCCTTTAATACCTTAAATGATCTTGAAAAACAAGGTTGAAGGCTTGCAGCAGTGGCTCACACCTGCAATCCTAGATACTTCGGAGGAAATCTGGAGGATTAAAGTCCAAGGACAGCTCTGGCAAAAAGTTGTGAGACCCTATCTAAACAGTTTGTCACAGTGAGACACACACACACACACACACATACACACGTCCATCATCCCAAGAACTCGGTCATCCCAAGAATGCAGAAGCCTGAGATTGGGAGGATCTCTGTTCTTGTCAAGTCTAGGCAAACAAGTTCATGATCTCATAGATCCCTGTCTCAACAAAAAAGCTGGGTATGGCACCATATGCCTGTCATCCTCTTATGGCAGGAAGTATAAATAGGAAGATGTGGTCCAAGCTGGCTCAGGCCAAAAACTCAGATTCTGTCTCAGAAACAACCAGGTCTAGCTGGGTACTGGTGGCTCAAATCTGTAAACCTAGTTACTTGTGAGCCTGAAAATGACAGTGTCACAGTTTGAGTCCAGCCCAGGGGCAGATAGTTTATGATACCATTTCTCAACTCATAACCAGGCTCAGTAGCACACACCTAGCTTTCTAATCCTGAGCAGAAAAAGCCACAAGACTCATTTATATGAAAATGAGGGGCTGGGAATATGGCTCAGTGGTAGAGTGTTTGCCTTGCATGCCTCTGAGGCCCTGGGTTCGATTCCTCAGCACCACATAAGCAAAAAGAAAAAAAGCCCAAAGTGGTGCTGTGGCTCAAGTGGTAGAGTGTTAGCCTTGAGCTGAAGAGCTGAGGGACAGTGCCCAGGCCCAGAGTTCAGGCCCCACGTCCGGACCCAAAAAAAAAAAAGAAAATGAGTATATGATTTTTTTTTTTTTTTTTTTTTTTTTGGCCAGTTGTGAGGTTTGAACTCAGGGCCTAGGTGCTGTCCCTGAGCTTTTTTCTTTTTTTTGGTCATTTGTGGGAATTGAACAGGGCCTTGGCACTGTCCCTCAGCTCTTCAGCCCAAGGCGAGCACTCTACTACTTGAGCACAGCACCACTTCCCGTTTTCTAGTGGTTTATCAGAGATAAAAGTCTCACAGACTTTCCTATCTTGGCTGGCTTTGAACCGAAATCCTCACATCTCAGCCTCTAGAGTAGCTAGGATTACAGGCATGAGCCACCAGCGCCAGGCTTGTCCCTGAGCTTTTGCTCAAGGCTAGTACTCTAGTACTTTGAGCCACAGCAACACTTCTGGTTTTTGAATGGTGAATTAGAGATAAGAGTCTTATGGATTTCTCTGCCTGGGCTGGCTTTGAGACAATCCTCAGATTTCAGCCTCCTGAGTAACTGTGATTATAGGCATGAGCCACAAGTGCCTGGATATTCTTTGAAAGTTCTTTGTTTTTTGTTTTTGTTTTACACCACTACCTGGGCTTGAACTTGGGGCCTCACCTTTGGCTTTTTTGCTCATGTAGGGTTGGCACCCTACTAAACCTATACCTCCAGCCTACATTTTTTTTGGTGTGCCAGTCCTGGAGCTTGAACTCAAGACCTGAGCCTCTTTGTGCTCAAGGCTAGCACTCTACCACCTGAGGTACAGCACCACTTCCAGCTTTTTTGAGTAGTTTTATTGGAGTTAAGAGTCACAGAGGGACTTTTCTCCCTGGGCTGGCTTCGAACTGCATTCCCCAGATCTCAGTCTCCTGAGTAGCTAGGATTACAGGCATGAGCCATCGGCACCTGGCCTCTACCCAGTTTTTTTGTTGGTTGATTGGAGATGGACTCTTACAAACTTTTCTGCCTCGGCTAACATCAAACCATGATCCTCTGGATCTCAGCTTCCTGAGTAGCTAGGATTACAAGCATGAGCTACCAGCACTCAGCTGCAGATTTATTTGTAAATGCCCCAAACTGAACACAATCTGTATAGTTATTTAAAGATAAATGATCAGGGGCTGGGAAGGTGGCTCAGTGGTAGAGCACTTGCTTTGCATGCCTGAGGCCCTGGGTTCGATTCCTCAGCACCACATAAGCAAAAAGAAAAAAGCCGGAAGTGGCGCTGTGCTCAAGTGGTAGAGCGCTAGCCTTGAGCTAGAGCTAGAGCTGAGGGACAACACCCAGACCCAGAGTTCAGGCCCCACGACCAGACCAAAAAAAAAAAAAAAAAAAGATAACTGATCAAAGCAACCGGTCAGTTGGCTCATAGAATACTACTTGTAAGTTCTATCTCAACTTATTTAACAAGGATGTGATATTCTTCCTTACTTACTTTTTTTCTTTCTTTCCTTCTTCTTTTACTCTTTCTCTCTTTTTGTTTATCATGGGGCAGGGAACTCAGAGCCCTGTCCCTGAGCTTTTGGACTCAAGGCTAGCACTCTACCACTTTGAGTCACAGTGCCACTTACGTTTTCTGGTGGTCAGGTAGAGAGGGGAGTCTTACTGAGCCGGGCACTGGTGGCTCGCGCCTGTAATCCTAGCTACTCAGGAGGCTGAGATCTGAGGATCACTGTTCAAAGTCAGCCCCGGCAGGAAAGTCCGTGAAACTCTTCAATAAACCACTCAGAAAACTGGAAGTGGCGCTGTGGCTCAAGTGGTAGAGCACTAGCCTTGAGCTGAAGAGCTGAGGGACAGCGCCCAGGCCCATAGTTCAAGCACTATGACTGCCAAAAAAAGAGTCCCACTGGATTTTCCAGGCTAGCTTTGAACGATGATCCTCAGAATTCAGCCTCCTGAATAGCTAGGATTACAGGCATGAGCCACCACTATCCAGCTTCCATTATTTAGTATTAATGGATGTTTTGAATGTACTGAGTTTTTCTTTTCTTTTCTTTTTTTTTTTTTTGGGGGGGGGGGTCCGGTCGTGGGGCCTGAACTCTGGGCCTGGGCGCTGTCCCTCAGCTCTTCAGCTCAAGGCTAGCATTCTACCACTTGAGCCACAGCGCCACTTCCGGCTTTTTTCTTTTTGCTTATGTGGTGCTGAGGAATCGAACCCAGGGCCTCATGCATGCAAGGCAAGCGCTCTACCACTGAGCCACCTTCCCAGCCCAATACATACATACATACATACAGAGAGAGAGAGAGAGAGAGAGAGAGAGAGAGAGAGAGAGAGAGAGAGTTTATTGCAATGCTTCAGGGAGCATACTTGTATATTTGTATTTATATTTTATATTATATATTATAATATTTTATATTATATTACATATATTGTATGTATATTTACATATTGTATGTATATTATATTACATATATTGTATTTATATTTGTATTTGTAGTTATATTCTAACCTCCAGATGATTTCTACAAGACTGAGTGTTAGGCTGTGTATAATCTTTATTGTAGCTAGTGCCCAATAATAGAGTAACATTTTAACAGTACTTAGATTTTTTTAAATATCTATAAAGCTGAAATTTCATGGATAGGGCCTGTCCAGATAGCATCAAGAATCTTCTGTGGAGGAGAGCCTTTAATAGCCCCAGAAGCTCCATGTGGAGCCAGGAGGGAGGAAGATGGGAGTGTACAGGCCACTGAAAGCCTTCTTGGGTTTCTTCTGCTCTCCCTTTCCTTTCTGGCATTGCAGAGGGATTTTCCTGGTGGGAAGAACTGGACTAGTTTCTGTTTTGCTTTTGCTCTGTTAGGTGAAGGCATCCTCATCTCCTCGGAGGCGTCAGAACTTCTGGATTTCATAGACAACCAGGGCCAAGTGCATGTGATCCAGAAATACCTTGAGCGTCCTCTGCTCCTCGAGCCGGGTCACCGCAAGTTTGATATTCGGTAATCCTTCAGTGCCCTGTGCTGAGCTTTTATTCATCTGAAAACAATGCTCAGGGTACGTGGCCAGCAGAGGACCCAGATGTGAGGATCTGGCTGCCTGTGTTTAAGATGTTACCACATCTGAGGACAGCTGAGCAGACCTGAGTTCCTGCACCTTATTTTCTGTTTCCATTTCAGTGTTTCCTCTCTTCTCTCTAGAAGATGTAACCAAGATTATGAATTTTCTTTTATAATATTTATGTGTACGTGTACAGGTCCTGGGGCCTAAATTCAGGGCCTGGATGCTATTCCTGAGCTTTTATTTCTCAAGGCTAGCCACAGCTCCACTTGTGAGTTTTTGGTGATTAATTGAAGGGCCTTTCCTGCCCAGGCTGGCTTCGAACCACAATTCTCAGATCTCAGCCTCCTGAGTAGCTAGGATACAGGTGTGAGCCACCTGCACCTGGCTCTTCTTAATACATTCTTTTGTGAGAAGGTCTTCTACGTTTTTGCCCAGGCAGGCCTCAGGCTGCCATCCTCTGACCTCCCATATGATTGGGATCACAGGCATGAAACCACTATGTCCCACATAATGGTTGAGATGAGATCTTGCTAACTTTCTGTCTGGACTGTCCTCAAATCACATTCTTCTGCCAAGCACTCAAGAGACTAGATACAAAAACTGTGGTTTGAAGCCAGCTTGAAGAAAAGCTGTTAGAATCTTATCTCCAAATAACTACCAAAAAACTGAAAGTGGAGTTGTGGCTTAGGTGGTAGAGTACTAGCCTTGAGCAAAAAAGCTCAAAGACAGTGCCCAGACCCTAAGTTCAAAGCCCAGGACTGATACTCGCACAAAAAGACACACACACACACACACACACACACAGGGCAAAAACCTACAATCTTTCTGATTACCACCTGCTGAGTAGCTGAGATTACAAATGTGAGCAACCATGCTAGACTGGGTTATGTGATGCTTTCCGAAGCAAAGTACTCTCTACTCAGCTTGCCTTGGGCATTGCTGTCACCTCCTCATCAAGATGCTCTCCTTGATGCTCTCATAAAGACATTTTGCTTCTTAAATATCAGTCCTATGTCAGATAAGATTCAGGGTATACATTTTTCCTCTTAAGATCCTGAAAAGCAAACATGACCAATGGAGGCACTGTAAGTTAACCTCAAAACCATATCAAGTTTCTTCAAAATGCTATATTTATTTTAATGGGTTCAGGTCTTATTATTATGTATGGTTTTCACCTCCGTGTGGTGAAAACCCACTTTTACCTGACCGTATATAACTTTAAAATTACCTCCTGAGCCAGGCGCCAGTGGCTCACACCTGTAATCCTAGCTACTCAGGAGGCTGAGACCTGAGGATCACAGTTCAAAGCCAGCCCAGGCAGGAAAGTCCATGAGACTCTGATCTCCAATAAACCACCAGAAAACCGGAAGTGGCGCTGTAGCTCAAGTGGTAGAACACTAGCCTTGAGCTGAAGAGCTGAGGGACAGTGCTCAGGCCCAGAGTTCAAGCCCCATGACCGACCTCCCCCCCCAAAAAAAAAAAATTACCTCCTTCCTCTATTCTCCCTAGTCCCCCCAAAAACTCAGCCTGTGAGGATTGGTATAACACACACACACACACACACACACCCTATACTATATTATAAACCAGTGTGTTTGTTAAATTACAGAAGCTGGGTGTTGGTAGACCATCAGTATAATATCTACCTCTATAGAGAAGGTGTGCTTCGGACGGCTTCAGAACCATATCATGTTGATAATTTCCAAGACAAGACCTGCCACTTGACCAATCACTGCATTCAAAAAGAGTACTCAAAGAACTATGGGAAGTATGAAGAAGGGAATGAAATGTTCTTCGAGGAGTTCAATCAGTACCTCACAAGTGCTTTGAACATTACCTTGGAAAATAGTATCTTGCTACAAATCAAACATATCATAAGGTAAACTTACTTGTAACCTTTCTTTTGGCTTCTTAAAGTTTATGACTTTCAAGGAATTGTTCCACTTATGTTGTCTAATTTATGGGCAAAAGTATTTGGAATATTTTGTTATTCTCAATGTAATATCTAGAAGGATCTATAATGATGTCACTTCTTGTCAGTTATTGATAATTTATATTTCTTCTCTATTTTATTTGAGTAGATAGACTAGCGTTATTAGTAATTTGTTTTGGTGGCAGTCCTGGGGCTTGAACTTAAGGCCCAGGTACTGTCCCAGAGCTTTTGTGCTCAGGGCTAGCCATGCTTCTGCTTCCAGCTTTTTGATCATTAAACGGAGATAAAAATCTCATGGATTGGGCTGGAAAGGTGGCTCAGTGGTAGAGCACTTGCCTTGCATGCCTGAGGCCCTGGGTTCGATTTCTTAGCACCACATAAGCAAAAAGAAAAAAGCCAGAAGTGGCGCTGTGGCTCAAGTGGTAGAGCGCTAGCCTTGAGCTGAAGAGCTGAGGGACAGTGCCCAAGCCCAGAGTTCAGGCCCCACGAATGGACCCCCCCCAAAAAAAAAAAAAAAAAAATCTCATGGATTTTCCTGCCCCAGCTGCCTTCAAATCCTGATCCTCAGACCTCAGCCTCCTGAGTAGCTAGGATTACAGGTATGAGCCACTGGCACCCGGCAATTATTAATTAATTAATTTATTTTTGTGTTGGTACTAGGGCTTGAATTCAGGGTCTGAGCATTGTCCTTGAGCTGTTTTGCTCAAGGCTAGTACTGTATCACTTAAGCTACAGCTCCACTTTTTACTGATTAATTGGAAATAAGAGATTCTTGGACAGGATGGCTTTTAACCTTGATCCTCAGATCTCAGCTCTCGAGTAGCTAGAATTACAGGCATGAGCCACCAGCACCCAGCTATTTATTTATTTTTGGTGTTGGAATGAGGGGTTTAACATAAGGCCTAATGTTCTTGCTTGACTTTTCTCTGTCTCTGTCTCTGTCTCTCTGTGTCTGTCTCTGTCTCTGTTTGTCTGTCTCTCTGTCTCTGTCTGTCTGTCTCTCTCTCTTTTTTTTTTTTTTTGGGTCCAGTCGCAGGGCCTGAACTCTGGGCCTGGGCACTGTCCCTCAGCTCTTCAGCTCAAGGCTAGCGCTCTACCACTTGAGCCACAGGGCCACTTCTGGCTTTGTTTCTTTTTGCTTATGTGGTGCTGAGGAATCGAACCCAAGGCCTCATGCATGCAAGGCAAGCGCTCTACCACTGAGCCACCTTCCCAGCCCTCTCTCTCTCTTTTTGTGCCAGTTCTAGAGCTTAAATTCAGGGCCTGGGTACTATCCCTCAGCTTTGTGTTCAAGGCTAGCACTCTACCACTTGAGTCACAGCTCCATTTCTGGCTTTTTGGTAATTACATGGAGATGAGTCTCTTGGACTTTCCTCCCTGGGCTTCTAACCATGATCTTCACATCTTAGCCTGCTGAGTAGCTAAGATTATAAGTGTGAGCCAGGTGCCCAGCTTGCTTGACTTTCTTGCTCATGGTTGGCATTCTACCAGTTGAGCCACACCTCCAGTCTGACATTTTTCTGATTAATTGGAACTAGAGTCTTGCAGATTTTCTGCTCAAGCTGGCTTCAGACCATGATCTTCTAGGTCTCAGCCTCTTACATAGCTAAGATTATAGGTATGAGCCACCAAAACCTGACTTTAAATATTTATTTTAAAACCAGATTTTTGGCTTTATTGATTTTCTCTTATCTTTTTTTTTTTTCTCTTGTTTCCAGTTTCGTTGCTTTTTATGATCTTTGATATTTTCTTATGCTCTTCGGGGAGATTTAATTTGTTCTTTTTCTTATTTCTTTTTTCTTTTAAATTTTCTTTTGTCACGCATGGGGTTTGAACTCTGGGCCTTTCTCTCCGCTCTTCAGCTCAAGGCGAGCTCTCTACCACTTTCAGCTGGGTACTGGTTGTTTCACGTCTGTAATCCTAGCAACTCAGGAAGCTAAGAACTAAGGATCCCAGTTCAAAGCCAACCGGGGCAGGAAAGTTTGTGAGATTCTTATTTCCAATTAACCACCAAGAAACTAGAAGTAGAGCTGTGGTTCAAAGTGGCTAGCCTTGAGCACAGAAGCTCAGGAATAGCACTCATGCCCTGAGTTTAAGCCCCACAATCAACAACAATAACAACAACAAAAATTATATGGTCTCAGGGGCTGGGAAGGTGGCTCAGTGGTAGAGCGCTTGCCTTACATGCATGAGGCCCTGGGTTCCATTCCTCAGCACCACATAAGCAAAAAGAAAAAAGCTGGAAGTGGTGCTGTGGCTCAAGTGGTAGAGCACTAGCCTTGAGCTGAAGAGCTGAGGGACAGCGCCCAGGCCCAGAGTTCAGGCCCCATGACTGGACCCCATCCAAAAAAAAAATTAAATGGTCTCATCGCTAAGGGCTTCATTTTTTTTTTTGCTTAATGATCTGATATTTTGGGGTTTCTGAGTAATTTCACTATAGACATACAGACATACTTTATATTATTTCATTTTAAAAAATCATTATAGTGGGCTGGGAAGGTGGCTCAGTGGTAGTGCTTGCCTTGCATGCATGAGGTCCTGGGTTCGATTCCTCAGCACCACATAAGCAGAAGAAAAAAAAAGCGGAAAGTGGCACTGTGGCTCAAGTGGTAGAGTGCTAGTCTTGAGCTGAAGAGCTGAGGGACAGCGCCCAGGCCCAGAGTTCAGGCCCCACGACCGGGCCCCCCCCCAAAAAAAAAAATCATTATAGTTTGTGTCATGGCTCTTAGTGAATATTCCACTTGCACTGGAAACAAGGCCCATCCTGTGATAGATAGTTCAACCGTGTTCTCTGTCAATTAGGTCTACATGGTTGATAATGTTTGAGTCTTTTAGAACCTTGATGGTTTTCTCTTTGACTTGTTTTGTTCATTCCTGCATTGAAAAACTGAAGTCTCCAACTACAATTATGAATTTGTTTCAGTTTCATTAGTTTTTGTTTTATATGTTTTGAGGATTTATTGCTAGGTGAATATATATTTAAGATTATTATCTCTTCTTTGGGGACCAAACATTTTATTAGTATGTACTTTGTTTTTATCTTTAGGAGTATTTATGACTTTTTAGTCTATTTTGTCTGATTTTAATATAGCCACTCGAACTTTTGGTAAGTGTTTCCATGGTATGTCTCTTCACATTCCGTCTTTTTTAGATTTTATTGTAAAGGTGTTGTACAGAGGGGTTACAGTTACATAACTAAAGTAATGAGTACATTTCCTTTTGAACAGTGCCATTGCCTCCCACATTCCTTTATTTTTATTTTTTAATTACTCTCTATATCTGATATGTTATATTATATATTTAAAATAGGTTTCTAGTGGTTGGATATTGTTTTGCTTTTTATATTAGTCCATTAAATTTAATTTTAATTTTCTGTTGAGTGGCTATATCTGGTTTGGGTCTTTTCTTTGTTTTATTTTGGTTTTTTTTTGTTTTTGTTTTTGGGGGGGGCATTTTGTGTGTGTGTGTGTGTGTGCGCGCGCGCATGTGTGTGTGTGTGCGCATGTGTGTGTGTGTGTGTGCATGTGTGTGTGTGTGTGCGCCGGTCCTGGGGCTTGAGCTGGCATTGTACCACTTGAGCCATGACATTTTTTGGGTGCTTAATTAGAGATAAGAATCTCATGGACTTTCCTGCCCAATTTGGCTTTGAACTGCAATCCTCAGATCTGTCTACTGAGTAGCTAGGATTACAGGCATGAGCCACCTGTGCCCTGCTATTCCCTGCTTATTGCTGGTTAATTGGAGATAAGAATCTCAAAGATTTGTCTGAGTGGGCTGGATTTGAATGCAGATTCTCATATCTCAGTCTTCTAAGTAGCTAGTTTTATAGACATGATCCACTAGTCCTGACTCTACTCTTATTTTCTTTCTTTCTTTCTTTTTTCTTTTCTTTTCTTTTTTTTTTGCCTGTCCTGGTGCCTGAACCCAGGGCCTGGGCACTGTCCTTGAGCGTCTTTTGCTCAAAGCTAGCACTGTACCACTTAAGCCGTAGCGCAATTTCCAGCTTTTTCTGTTTATGTGGTACTGAGGAATACAGCCTAGGGCTTCAACTCTATCACTAAGCCACATTCCCAGCCCATCTCCTCTTATTTTCAAAGTGGCTTTCTTATGTCTAGTATATCAGTTAGTCATTTTATTAAATCTAACCTGATAATTGATGATACATATGGAAATATATAACTATTGATAACTAAAAAAGTGGTATAAATTTTAATGCATATAAATGCAACACTGACATCCATAGAGGGGAAGAGTGAGTGAATCTTAAGGATATAAGGTTTTTTTGCATATTGAGTCTGACAGAGTCGGTCTCCTAATAACCAGCAAAAAGTCAGCCTGGAATTCATGGCTCAAATGGTGGAGAGCTAGCCAGTAATAAGCAAGTCAAAGCTTCAGTGCCAGTCAAAAGATAAAATAAAATTAAAAAAAGAAGAAAATATTCTGTTGTATTTACTAAGGTGCCATTTCTGTTTTGCTTTTCTAGAACTCTAGAGTTTTCAGTCCTCCCTCCGTCCCTCCCTCCTTTCTTCCTTTCTTCCTTCTTTCCATCTGTCTGTCTGTCCTTGGATTGGACCTAGGATCTTGCATATGCTAGCAAGTGCTCTACTACTTGACTGCACTTCAGACTTATTTTTGTTATTATGCATATTTAATATTCTTTTGGATTTTCCCCATACACGTTAATCTGTTATTTTGTTCCTGTTTCTTTCTTGTGTTTCTTGTCATTTGTCTAGGAATGATTTCTTTATTGTTATCCCCTTTAATTTCTTTTGTGTGTGTGTGCTGTAACTAAGCAAGTGTACTCATCCCCTTTTTTTTTTATTTTTTTTTTTATTGTAAAGCTACTATACAGAGGGTTACAGTTACATGAGTGAGGTAATGAGTACACTTCCTCTTGAACATTGTTACCCCCTCCATTGTTTTCTCCCTACTATCCCCTCCCTCCCTCCCTTCCCGAGGTTCTTTTTTTTTTTTTTTTTTGATTGTGATTAAATGATTACATAATTTCAAAGTCACAAGTTCATTCTAACTTCCCTGGAGCAAATTGTCTACCACAGTCTGTAATATATAACAGTATTCACATGTTATATACCATATTTGTGATCAGCAGCATGGGGATATTTAGTAGTGGTTCAACCAGATGAGCGGGAGTTCTTTGTTTCTTAAGTCCTGTTAGTTTTGTCGTATCACCTAACCTTTTGGATTTAGCATCCACTTATCAGGGAGACCATGTACCGTTTGTCTCTTCCTTCTTGGCTTACCTCGCTCAACATGATTCCTTCTAGCTCCATCCATTTCCCTGCAAATGCCATTATTTTGTCATTTCTAATGGCTGCATAATATTCCATTGTGTATAGATACCACAATTTTTGGATCCATTCATCTGTGGTGGGGCATCTAGGTTGTTTCCATATCCTAGCTATTGTGAACAGTGCTGCAATAAACATGGAGGTGCATGTGTCCTTGTATATTGGTTCCTGTTGTTCAGGGTAGATGCCTAGAAGTGGTATGACTGGGTCGTAAGGGAGGTCAATCTTTAGCTTTCTAAGGACCCTCCAGACTGCTTTCCAAAGTGGTTGTATAAGTGTACATTCCCACCAGCAGTGTAATAGGGTTCCTCTTTCTCCACATCCCCTCCAGCATTTGTCGTTGGCTGATTTGTGGTTGTGGGACCTTCTGACTGGGGTAAGGTGGTATCTCAGGGTTGTCTTTATTTGCATTTCCTTCACCACCAGGGATGATGAACATTTCCTCATGTGTTTCTTTGCCATTTTTATTTCTTCATTTGAGAAGTCCCTCTTTAGTTCCCTTGCCCATTTAGTAATTGGTTTGTTAGGTTTGGGAGGGATTAGTTTCTTGAGTTCCCTGTATATACAGGATGTTAACCCCTTGTCTGATATATTGCTGGTAAATATTTTTTCCCAATTAGTTGGTTGTCTTTCTAGCTTAGTTGCGATAGATTTAGCTGTGCAGAAGCTTTTTATTTTAAGGTAGTCCCATTTGTCGAGTCTCTCTCCAACTTGTTGTGACCCTGGGACTCTGTTCAGGAAGTTCCTTCCTGTGCCTATTAGTTCAAGTGTCTCTCCTACTCTGTCCTGCAGTAGTTTCAGAGATTCAGGTTTAATGTTAAGGTCTTTAATCCATTTTGAGTTGATGTTGGTGCATGGTGATAGGCTGGGGTCCACTTTTAGTTTTCTGCATGTGGCTGCCCAGTTTTCCCAGCACCAGCGGTTGAAGAGGCTGTGTTTCTTCTATTGTATGTCTTTGGCTCCTTTGTCGAATATCAGCTGGCTGTAGGCCTGTGGATTTATATCTGGATCTTCTATTCTGTTCCATTGGTCTTCGAGTCTGTTTTTGTGCCAGTACCATGCTGTCTTTGTTATTATAGCTCTGTAGTAGAGTTTGAAGTTCGGCATGGATAGCCCTCCCATATTGTCTTTATCCCCTAGAATTGTTTTGGCTATTCTAGGTCTTTTGTTGTTCCATATAAATTTTTGGACTGCTCATCCCCTTTTAATAATGCTCCTCTACACACTTTTGATGCTACTGATGTTTGAATTGAAAACTTGTTTTTGCTTGGAAGCATTCTACCACTTGAACCATAATCCCAGAACTTGATTTTGGCTATACATTTTGTTTTCCAGTTCCAAGGTTTGAATCCAGGGCCTCCTGCGTACTAGGCAAAGACTCTACCATTTGAGCCACATCTACTTCAGTTGTTTCTGAGATAGAGTCTGTGGGCTTTTCCTGAAGTCAACCTCTGACCATAATCCTTCTCCCTGTTCAAGTGTAGCTGAGGCTACAATGAACCACCATATTAATGATTGTTGAGATGGAATCTCCATGGCTTTTCCTGGGGCCAACATTGAACTGAGATTTTCCTGCTTTCTGCCTTCTAAGTAGTTGGAGTAACAGGCAGGAGCTGCTACATCCAGCCTATTACGTTTTTTTTTTGTTGTTCTAAAATTTCCATTTCTTCTTTTTATAGGTTTTAATTTTCTTGAACATATTACTGGTAATTCTTTAATGTCCTTTTGTGACAACTTACTGAATCCAGTAAACTAAGCCTTAGTGGCCAAATCGGCCAAATGTTTCTTTTAACATTTCCCTATCTCCCTCTTCAATCCCCCCCACCCCCCGCACCCTATTTCTTCTCCTGTTCCATTTTTGGCAGTACTGAGATTTGAACTTGCTTGCTAGGTAAGCACTCTATTATTCAGCCACATCCTGAGCCTAGTCTTTTACTATTCTTTTTCCCCCTTTTGTTTTTAATTTCTTTTATGCATGTGTGCTGGTACCAGGGCTTAAACTCAGGACTTTGCATTCTCTCTCTGCTTTCTTGCTCACAGCTAGTATTCTACCACTTGGGCCACACTTCAGTGCTTCCATTTCTTAATAGGCCTAGAAGTAAGTTTGGTGGGGCGGGGTTATACTAGGATTTGAAATTGGCCTCACACTTGTTAGGCAGACACTGTACACAGAGCCCTGCTCATAGTCTTTTTTTTGTGCTGGTTATTTTGAAATAGGGTCTCACTTTCTGCCTGGATCCTAGATTACAGGTATGAGCCATTAGCACCCAAGTTAGAAATAGTTTTTGGTGTTAGGATTCATTTGTTGTAGTCTACTAAATCCAGTTGAGAATTTTTAGAATAAACTATAATGTATACAAAATATACTAAATTGTGAGTGTCTAAGTATACACTCATGTAACTATGATTCTTGTCAAGAAGTAAAACATTAGTAGTATTACCAGCCTCCTTTGAAACCCTCAAAATATGTATTTCATGCTGAAGACAGTCACTTCTGACTTCTCTCTCACACATTTCTTTTTGTGTGTTCTTAAACTGCACATGATGAAATTATACCATCATCCTAATTTTATGTCCAGATTGGTTTTTTTTTTTTTTGGGGGGGGGGGGTGGTCCAGTCATGGGTCTGAACTCTGGGCCTGGGCGCTGTCGCTCAGCTCTTCAGCTCAAGGCTAGTGCTCTACCACTTGAGCCACAGCGCCACTTCCAGCTTTTTTCTTTTTGCTTATGTGGTGCTGAGGAATCGAACCCAGGGCCTCAAGTATGCAAGGCAAGCGCTCTACCACTGAGCCACCTTCCCAGCCCTGTTTTTTTTTTTTTTTTTTTTTTTAAATTTTGTCTAGTCCTGGGACTTGAACTCAGGGCCTGGGCTGTGTCCCTGTGATCCAGGCTAGTGCTCTACCTTTAGCCATAACACCACTTCCAGCTTTTTCTGTTTATTTGGTACTGAGGAATTGAACCCAGGGCTTCCAAACACTTTATCACTAAGCCACATTCCCAGCCCTGTCCAGCTTTTTTCTATGACCAGCTTTTTTTTTTCTGGTGGGGTGGCGGGGGCGGGGGTGGAGATGGGGGTACAGTGGTCATGGGCTTCAACTCTGGCCTGGGTACTGTCCCTGAGCTCTTCAGCTCAAGGTGAGAGCTCTACCACTTAAGCCACAGTACCACTTCTGGTTTTCTGGTGGTTAATTGAAGATAAGAGTCTCATGGACTTTTCTGCTCAGGCTGACTTTGAACTGTGATTCTCAGATCTCAACCTCCTGAGTAGCTAGGATTACAGGTGAGAGCCACCAGTGCCTGGCATGTGACCAGCTTTTTTTATGTCCAGCTTTTGTCGATGACATATATATTGTTGCCCACAGTAGTGATTCCCCCTGTCCTTTTGGTGTCACTTCTGGGGCTTGAACTTGGTCTGGGTGCTGTCTTAGCTTTTTGTTCAGGGATAGCACTCTACCATTTGAGCCCATAGTTCCACCTCTAACTTTTTGGTAGTTAATTGGAGATAAGAGTCTCATGGACTTTCCTGCCCAAGCTGGCTTTGAATCACAATCCTCAGATCCCAATTACTTGTCCTTTTTACTTGCCATATAATCTTCTACTGTGGGACGTTCCAGTTTTCCCCTTCTATAGTCTATAGTTTATTTGTTTTGTGCGTGCACTGGGGCTTGAACTTGCTGGGCTTTTTTGCTCAAGGCTGCCATTGAACCACTTGAGTCATACCTCCACTTCTAGCTTTTTGGTAGTTAATTGGAAATGAGAATGTCATAACTAAGCCAGGCGCCAGTGGCTCACACCTATAATCCTAGCTACTCAGGAGGCTAACATCTGAGGATCTCGGTTCAAAGCCAGCCTGGGCTGGAAAGTCCATGAGACTCTTATCTTCAATTAACCACCAGAAAACTGGAAGTGGCACTGTGGCTCAAGTGGTAGAGTTTTAGCCTTGAGCTGAAGAGCTGAGGGACAGCACTCAGACCCAGAATTTAAGCCCCATGACCAACAACAACAACAAAAAAATGTCATGACTTTTCTGCCTCATTTGGCTTCAAATTCCAATTCTCAGATTTCAGTCCTCTGAGTAGCTAGGATTACAGGCGTGACTCATGGTGCCCAGCTGATTTGATTTCTTACATGTAAGGCCTACAATCTGTCTAGAATTATGTGTCATGTCTATGTTTTTCCACAAGAGTGTCTCAGGACCCAAGACCATCTTTGCCTGAGACTACCCCACCTACTGCTGCTCTGAGCCTTGTGGCTGTGTGTGAGTGGGTCTGACGATCCCTGTGACCCCTGTCTGCTCCATTGGTCATCCTGTCACTAGGACAGGTGCTGGTCCTGGGACTTGAGCTAATGTCTAGGCGCTGCCCCTGAGCTTTTTTTGCTCAAGGATAGCACTCTATCACTTGAGCTTCAGCTCCTCTTTTGGCTCTTTTGATAGTTAATTGAAGATAAGAGTATCATGAACTTTCTTGCTCTGACTGGCTTCTGATTCTCAAATCTCAGCCTTCTGTATAACTAAGATTATACAGGTGAGTCACTGGTGCCCAGCTCCTCAATATTTTTTACATAGAACCTAGCAGAAAACTCAGGGATTATTGCATTCTCACACCAGGTAAACAAAATGTGCTTGTTAATGGATACCCACTATAGGGCAAATACCGTATTGGCTCTGGGACGCCCTCTTCTGGTTGGTATGCAGTGCTGCAGGCAGCGTTGTCTTTTGATAACTAGAAATGCTCCTCACAAGCCCTCCAGTTTGCTTTTCTCAGCCACCATCCCCTTACTCCCTAGTCAAGCCTCCAAAAAGATGTGTTCTGTGAAACTTCTGATGAGGAGAAAGCTCCCACTGTGGATTATCCATCCCAAATGCCCATATTTAGATTGATTTGGTTCTGGTTATGTCGGAGTGTGATGCTGCTTTCACTTTTTATCCTTTTCTCTTGATGTCTTCTCTCTTTTTCCCTTTACCCTCAAGCATTCCTTCATCATGTATTAAACTTTTGTACTTTATTTTGGCAGTAATGGGGTTTGAATTCAGGAGCTTTTGCTTGCTAGACAGCATTCTGCTGAGCCCATCCTTCAGCCTATTTTTTTTTAATAGCTTTAGTTATTTTTCAGGTAGGGTCTTATATTTTTGCCCAGGCTAGCCTCAGACTACAGTTCTCCCACCTGTACCTCTTTTATAGCTGAGACCACAGATGTGTCTCACCACAACCAGCTTAGTAATTGAGATGGGAGTCTCACGAACTTTTTGCCAGAGCTGGCCTTAAACCATGATCCCCTTGGTCTTCACCTCCAGAGTAGCTGGAATTACAAGTGTGAGCCACTCTGCTGGGCTGTATTTTTATTTTTTATTTTTTGGTGTGAGACCAGAACTCAAACTCAGTACCTGACAATTTGGCTAATTGTCTACTGCTTTACCAACTGAGCCATGCCTCTAACCCTCTTTTTCTTTTCTTTTTTGTTGGTCATGGGGCTTAAACTCTGGGCCTGGGCACTGTCCCCCAGCTCTTCAGCTCAAGGCCAGCACTCTGCCACTTTAGCCACAGTGCTACTTCTGGTTTTCTGGTGGTTTTATTGGAGATAACGGAGTTTCCTGCCAGGCCTGGCTTTGAACCACAATCCTCAGATGTCAGCCTTCTGAGTAGCTAGGATTACAGGTGTGAGCCACCAGCACCCGGCCATACTTTTATTAATTATAATATTTAAAGGGTATTTTAATGAAAACATTTAAGGATATTCTTATAAAACAGTGACAAGATTTAAAATTCTTATTAGTGTATCTTTTTTTTCTTTTTATGTTCTTTGTTTATTTGACAGGGTCTTGTGTGTGGCCCAAGTTGGCCATAAACTCATAATTCCCCTGCCTTAGCCTCTTGAGTCCTGAGATTACAGGTAGGCACCAACATGTCCAGTTTATTAGCATTTTGTTGTACAAAGTGATAATTTGTCGTGACTTTCTGTACATGTATATGGCATATTTTGATCATATTCATTCCTTGTCCCCCAGTATCCTTTCTTATCCCTCCTCCAAGATTTTTTTACATGGTATTTCACTGTGTTGTATTTCCCAAGTTGATTTAGTTTTCTGTTAATTAGAGATATAAGTTGTAGTCTTCTGATTACAGAGGATCCCTGTGGTCAGATTGATAACTTCAGTTAGTCACACTAACTGGTTGGTATGTGCTGGAATGCTCAGATGGTAGGATATTTTTTTTAATGTGATGTGTGATATACTAGTATGGGGGAAGTTTTCACTAGATTGGTTCTTATATATTTAATCAATTTGTATTTGTGGTAGTCCCATTAGGGCAAAAGGATTGCAAGTTCAAGACCAGCTTGGGCACAGAATAAGAGCCTGCCAGCCTGGGCTACAGGACAAGACGCTATCTCAAAACTGAACAAAGCACAAATATGTAAAAACTTTTTCCGCTTGGAGGAAAAAAGAAGAGGAGATCAGAATTTGGGGGAAAACGTATAGAGAAGAGTTGGGAATTTGGGAGTAAGTTCAAAAAGGAGACATTTTAGAGTTAGTTACCTAAACAGCTAGGGTGTGGTGGCATACACCTGTCATCCCACCTCCTGTGAGAAATAGAACACAGGAGGATCATGATCCCGGCTGGCCTGGGCAAAAAATGAGACCTTGTCTCAAAAACAATCAGAGCAAAAAAGGATAAAGGTGTGGCTCAAGTGGTATAGTACCTTCCTAGCAAAAAATTAATTGGTTATTTATAAACAAACACATAAATGTGTAATAAAAATATGTAAGTAAAATGAGTGAATGCACAATTTATATATATATATATATATATATATATATATATATATATATAATCCAGAAAAAGCTGAAGGTAGGGCTCAAGTGGTAGAGCACCAGCTATGAACAAGAAAGCCAATTGGTGTATAAAGCTTTTTATTCAAACCCTGGTACTGGCATCATAAATTAAAAAATAAGCCAACATTATTGAATGCTTCCTAGTAACCAGGACTTGTGCTCAGTTTCTTATGCAGTTATCTCAGTAAAAAATCTCAACACTACCAGTAGGTTCTATTTTTACCCCAACTATGTAAGTAAGGAAAATAGAATTTGAATTTGGTTTAGAAAGGTTAAAATGTTGTCCAAGATTCTGACCTAACTTCAAATCTCATGTACTTATTTATAACTTTTTTTTTTTTTGTCAGTGGTGGCGCCTGAACTCTGGGCCTGGGCACTGTCCCTCAGCTCTTCAGCTCAAGGCTAGCGCTCTACCACTTGAACCAAAGCACCACTTTCAGCTTTTTCTGCTTATGTGGTGCTGAGGAATCAAACCTAGGGCCTCATGCATGGAAGGCAAGCACTCTACCACTGAGCCACCTTCCCAGCCCCTTATTTATAACATTTTTGAGATTCACTTTGAGCTGCTTTTTGTGTCACTGAAATCCTTCAATTTTTTCCAAATACAGTAATCAATGTTAATGACAATTCTATGCTATATTTCAATATTTTGTTTTAATCTGTGTGGTTATTGAATGTGTGTGTGGTGTGTGTGTGCAAGCACATGTGGCTTGAACTCAGGGCTTTTTGTTTTCACATGGCTTTTTAATTCAAAGATTGCACTGTACCACTTGAGCTACAGTTCCATTTCTGGCTTTCTGCTGGCTAACTATAGATAAAAGTTTCTCAGATTTGTCTGCTGGGGCTGGCTTCAAACTTTGATCCTTAGGTCTCAGCCTTCTGAGTAGCTAGGATTCCAGGGATGAGCCACCTACCCAGTACATGGCTCTTGAATCTTTTAATTAGCAATAATTTGGTGAAAGAACTAGAGCTCCTGAAAGAAATTAATGATACCAGTATTCTCTGTACAAATTATTCTCTTCACCAGATGGTAGGTAGTCCCATTTTTACCTGGCTGGACTATAGGAAATTGTTTCAATTGTTATAAACCAATGTTGGGAGAATCTACATTTCTAGGGGCCTTGGTGACTCCATGCTATTTGCCCAGGGAGCCTTTGTCTTGTAACCTTGAATGTTTGCGGGCTTCTTGCTTCATAAGTAGCATTCTCGGGCTGGGAAGGTGGCTCAGTGGTAGAATGCTTGACTTGCATGCGTGAGGCCCTGGGTTCAAATCTTCAGCACCACATAAGCAGAAAAAGCTGGAAGTGGCACTGTGGCCTTGAGCTAAAAGAGCTGAGGAGCAGTGTCCAGGCCCAGAGTTCAGGCCCCATGACCGACAAAAATAAATAAGTAGCATTCTCTTGAGTGATCTATTGGTGATAAGATGGTTTTTTTGTTTGTTTTTTTGTACCAATCCTGGGGCTTGAGAGCTAGTCCTGAGAGCTGTCCTTGAGCTTCCTTTGCTCAAGATTAGTGCTCTACCATTTGAGCGATACCTCCAGCAAAAAACTGGTGTGGCTTTTTGGTGGTTAATTGGAGATAAGAGTCTTATGGACTGGATTGGCTTTGAACTACAATCCTCAGATCTCAGTCCCCTGAGTAGCTCGGATTATAGGTGCAAGCACCGCACACAATTGGTAATAACGTTTTAAAAGAGAATTAAGCTGAATCTAACTTTTATGCACCTAATGAAATCTTCTGAACATATCTTGACTGCCTCTACCATCCCACTCTCTGAGCTCTCTCCTTTCTCTCACAGGAGCTGCCTCATGAGCATAGAGCCAGCCATCAGCACCAGACACCTCCCTTACCAGAGTTTCCAACTCTTTGGCTTCGACTTCATGGTAGATGAGGAGCTGAAGGTTTGGCTCATTGAGGTCAATGGCGCCCCTGCTTGTGCTCAGTAAGCCTCAATGTCACTGGGTTGATCAGGTGGGAAGTTGGTTGTACACTTCTGACAGCTGCCCTGCAATGTTCAAGCACAGACCTCTCTATCTATCTTTCTGTCTACTTATTTGCTTTTTTTTTTTTTTTTGAACTGGTACTAGGGCTTGATCTCAAGGCCCGGGTGCTGTCCCTTAGCTTTTCCTTTAAAATCTAGTGCCATTTCTGATTAATTGGAGATAGGAATCCCTTGGATTTGACGCCTGGGCTGACTTTGAACCAGGACCCTCAACCTCTGCAGCAGCTCAAACACAGACCTTTTAACTGATGTCAGGAGGAATTGCACGGAGACGGTCCTCTTACAGGACCGGGAGCAGGGTGCTGGTGGCTCACGCCTGTCATCCTAGCTACTTTGAAGGCTGACATCTGAGGATCGCAGTTCAGAGCCAACCCGGGCAGAAAGTCCGTGAGACTCTTATCTCCAGTGAACCACCAGAAAACTGAAAGTGGCACTGTGGCTCAAGTGGTAGAGTGCTCACTTTGAGCTGAACAGCACCCAGGCCCAGAGTTCAAGCCCCACAACCCCAGCAGGGGGGTTGGGTGGGTGCCAGGCGGGGGGAACAGGACTGTAACTAGCAAGGGGACTTAGTCATTTCTCCATGTGCAAGTATGCTTAGGTGGGTGGCAGATATCATGAGTTCAACACAAAACTAACAAGTGCTGGAGAGATCCTCTAGTTGAATGACAAGTTGAATGATCAGAGTCTGTGGAAAAAGTGAAGTTTATGGGCTCCCTAAGGCAGAGATGATCAGAGAAGCATCCAAGACACAGTAAAGCTGGAACTGGGGTACAAGGAAAGGTTTTCTTAAGTGCACCAGAAAGAATGGCGAGGAGAACCTTGCTCTGTGCTGGGAGATGCTCAGATGAACAAAACGTGCCCTTTTGTGGGCTTCATCTCCATTTTCCTGGCTCTTCATAGTCACTTAGTGTTTGATGGATTCTCTCTGCACACCATCCACATGGGATGGAGTGGTGTAGGTAGCCATTAAGATGTGTGTCCCCAAAGATGAAGGAGACCGACACTGTCCCACTTGTTGAATTATGAATCATATTAGAGTCTAGGACTGCAATAGAAAATAAAACATTCTGTCTTTTAGATAGGATTTTTGTTTTTTGTTTTTTTTTTTTTTATTTTTTGTCGGTTGTGGGGCCTGAACTCGGCCTGGACGCTGTCTCTCAGGTCTTCAGCTCAAGGCTAGCACCTTACCACTTGAGCCACGGCACCATTTCTGGCTTTTTTCTGCTTATGTGGTGCTGAGGCATCAAACCCAGGGTCTCATGCATGCCAGGCAAGCACTCTACCACTGAGCCACCTTCCCAGCCTTTTTTTTTTTTTTGGTCAGTCATGGAGGCTGAACTCTGGGTCTGGGTGCTGTCCCTCAGCTCTTCAGCTTAAGGCTAGTGCCCTACCACTTGAGCACCACTTCAGGCTTAGATGGATTTTGACAGAGAAGCTATCTTGCTTCTACTTCCACAGGCTCCAGCCAGCATTAGGGCCAGGGGCAGGAGAAGAGGTTCGGTGCTAGGAGGGGCATGCCTTGGAGCAGGAAGGATGGGAATGAGACAGGAAGGGATTGGGATACAGTATCTTCTGGAAATTACAGTAGGAAAGGACTTCTGTCCCTGGCTGGCTTGCCTAGTGTGTTGTATGTGTGGGAATGTCTGGCCCAGAGCAACATGTTAGATACGGACTCCTCTTTAGATCATGCATGCCCTTCCCCTACCCCCACCCTCACCCTCACTCTTTTTTTTTGCCAGTTGTGAGGCTTGAACTCTGGGCCTAGATACTACCCCTGAGCTCCTTTTGCTCAAGGCTAGTACTCTATCATTTGAGCCACAGTTCCAATTCTGGCTTTTTCTGTTATTAATTGGAAATAAGGGTACACAGACTTTCCTACCCAGGCTGGCTTTGAACCACGATCCTTAGCTCTCAGCCTCCTGAGTAGCTAGGATTACAAGAGTGAGCTATTGGCATCTGGCTCCCTCTCCCCCCTCTTTGTTTTTCCTGATTTAGAATCAGTCCCCACAGATCTCACTTCAGGGAGCAGGTGCTTTCTCATGAAAGCCTAAGCCTGCAGCAGAAGCTGGAGGTAGAGGGACTCAGAACTCCTTTGGAGAGGCAAGGTGGGAAGTTTTCCTTCTTGGCTTTTCCTCATTTTTTTTTCTGGCCATCCAATTTTCTGTCTGACTTATATATTTTCCCAAGTCCCAACTTAATTGTCAGTCCCATGAAGTCTTCCCCAGTGTCTCCTCAAGCCTAGCAAGGTGGTTATTTCCCTGGGTTACTGTCTGCCCCCTGTGTTCCCTCATAGGCAAGGTGGCTTTTACTTGCTATCAAATCTGTTTCCCTGCCAGTCGGAGCAGGAATTGTCTGTTGTGATCACTTGCAACACCTTCCATAAGTCTTTTTTTTTTTTTTTTTTGTCGGTCGTGGGGCTTGAACTCTAGGCCTGGGCGTTGTCCCTCAGCTCTTCAGCTCAAGGCGAGCGCTCTACCACTTGAGCTACAGCGCCACTTCCGGTTTTCTGGTGGTTTACTGGAGATAGGAGTCTCACGGTCTTTCCTGCTTGGGCTGGCTTTGAACCGAGATCCTCAGATCTCAGCCTCCTGAGTAGCTAGGATTACAGGCGTGAGCCACCAGCGCCCGGCTTCTTCCATAAGTCTTTACTGATGGAATGTCTCATAGTGGTACAATACTTCCTGAGGTACTTGTGTGTGTGGATACCAATTTAAAAAAGCTGCTCTTAAGATAGAATATCTACAGCAGATCTTGATTTAGGGGGGAAAAAAAATTGAGGCCAGGTGCTTCTCAAGAGGCATAGATCTGACGGTTTGAAGCCACCCCAGGCAGGAAAGCCTTTGAGACTCTTATCTCCAATTAACTATGCAAGAAAAGCTGGAAGTGATACTGTGGCTTAAGTGGTAAAGCTCTAGAGCAAAAGTAGCTCAGGGACAGTGCCCAGGCCCTGAATTCAAGCCCCAAGACTGGTCTGTGTGTGTGCGCACACACACACACACACATACACACGCACACAAGGCCAAGAAACCTTTGATTTTTCACTTGTATTTTGATAAACATTCTTAATGACTTTTTAAAAAAACTCATTGCAGGAAGCTCTATGCAGAACTTTGCCAGGGCATCGTGGACATAGCCATAGCCAGTGTCTTCCCACCCCCGGACATGGAGCCACCACCGCAGCCAGCTGCATTCATCAAGCTGTGATAGACTGATGGAGATGCACACAGCTGCCTTGGGAAACACACGGGGTCCTGCTCCAGAAGAAGATGAAATGTCCAGACTGCACCTTATCAAGCCGAGATGAGGAGAGGCAACCCCAAGATGTGTTGGAAGAGCATGGGAAGAAAAGAGGACAGCAGATGGTCCAGAGCCAGTGGCGCTCTCCACAGTGCTGCTGACTTTAGCAAACTAAAGAAAATTTCTCTAGAAGGAGCAGAACATTCTTGTAAGGGGCCAAAGGCAGGGAGTTGATTTTCCTGTGTTCTCATCCTTTGAAAGAGTCTTTTGCTCCTCAGGCAATGCTGGGAACAGAACCCATCTTCCCCAGATGGCAGGCCAGGGACCACTGGTTGGTGTCTTTCCACCTGCTGCAGCCTGTAGTGCCTTAGTTTTGTGCCCAGCTGCAGGCCTGCTGGTCAGGGACATGGGAAGTGAGAGCATTTTTGAGGTTGCCCAGGTGTTTCCCATTCACCTCCTCCACAACACTCTGCCCCTCTAAACTCTGGACAAGCATGCACCAACTGTCCTTAGTTTTGTACTGTGCTCCAGCCTCTCAACAATGGCTGTTTTCTCAGCTACCTTCCTGGTGGGCTGTGGCCCAGCACCTGTCAGGCTTCCTGTGTGTTGGGGACCCAACAATCTGTGCTCTCTGCATGTTTTAGAGAGGGAGCAGCAACTCTGATGAGCCTGTAAGCATCAAATAAGCATGAGAGAGGGAGAAAAAACAAAAACATATCTTGCTTTACTTAATAGGTTGGGGTGGGGTGTCTGAAGTATCATGGTTTTCAATTCTCTTTATTTTAAGCAGAATGCTAAGTGCAGTTTTACAAAATTATTGTTCTTTTTATTTTCACTTAAATCTTTGTAGAAACCTCTCTAGGAAGTCAGGGAAGATAGACTTCCTTTGTTTATCTGCATCCCCAGATGGCCCTGGCCAGATACAGGTGGCTTTCCCCGTTCTGTTCTCCTTGTGCTCCAAGAGCCTTCTGCAGGGGCTAGAGGCCAGCTTCCAGTGTGGGAAGGATTTTATGTCTGTGTGCACCTGTGAATGTCAGGAGAAATGCTCTCTGGATAAGTAAGCTTAGGTCCCACCTAAACAGGAAAGAAGTAGTTCTGAGCTCCATGCTGCATTTTGTAAGTCACAAGGTATGTAGACTATTAGTTATATGTTGTAGACTTCTCAAAAGGCCACATTATTAATATGAGGAGATTTATTTATTTATTTATTTTTGTTTTTGTGTCAATCCTGGGGTCTGGATGCTGACCCTGAGCTTGCTTGCTTGCTTGTTTGTTTTTTTCCTCAAGACTAGTGCTCTACCATTTGAGCCACAGCTCCAGTTCAGTTTTTTTTTTTTTTTTTAGTTTATTGGAGATAAAGAGTCTGATAGACTATCCTGCAAAGACTAGCTTTGAGCCATGATCCTCAGATCTCAGCCTCCTGAGTAGCTAGGATTACAGGTGTGAGTCTACAGTGCCCAGTGGAAATCTCATTTATGTCGAGCATGAACTGAGGCACACAGCTCTTCTTACAGTGTGTCCTGGAAGTCATCACAGCAGACTTTCTTAGTGCATATTTTGATCTACTATTGGTTTTTGTTTTTTGGTTTTTTGCCAGTCCTGGGGCTTGAACTCAGGGCCTGAGCTTCTTTTGCTCAAGGCTAGAGTTCTACCACTTGAGCCACAGCACCACTTCCAGCCTTTTCTGTTTATGTGGTACTGAGGAATTGAACCCAGGGCTTTGTGCATGCTAGGCAAGCACTCTACCACTAAGCCACATTCCCAGGCCCTGTTATTGGTTCTTATTCGACCAGTTCTGCAGTCAATTGAGATTTTTACAAAAGAAGAGGAAAGGCATTGCCTCCTAGAATATTATGAGATATGGAAGCTTAGGATTTAGGAAAGGAATAATGATAAGATGATTGGATAGATGCAGCCATCTGGTAATAGGATGGGAAAGGAAGTCCCAACTGGCTAGACTTGGAATTTGGAATTATAAAATAAAAGTCCTACTGGTTACTGAGAGTTTGCATCCAGAGCACAATAGATCAGGCAATGTTAAGTCAGTCCTGGAGACCCAGGGCAGCTTGTAGGGTAGTGCCTGGGAACTTGTGAGAAATGAAGTGGGATCTGAGTAGGTTGTAGGAAGATGCATGTCCACATGCAGAGTGGAGGGTGCTGGGTCTGTGGCAAGTCTAGGTGGGCTGGTGGGGATAGCATAGAAACCCAAGTTATAGGAATATCTGAGATATTTTATCCAGCTCTTACAGTGACAAAACTAAGAATTTCAGATTATTAGCGCATGTATAAATCCTGGTGCATTTTCTAAGAAACCTGAATTCATGGCATTTATGTAAGAGATGAAAGGCTTTAAAAAAAGAAAAAGCTCCTATTTGTTTCTCACATGGTTTCAACTCAATTTCTGGCTTTTTGCTGGCTGGTTAATTACAGACAAATTTGTCTGCCAGGTCTGGCTTTGAACGTAGATCCTCCTTTCTCAGCCTCCTAAATAGCTAGGATTATAAGTGAGCCACTGTTGCCCAGCTCAACGATATATCTATTTTATGCATTTTTTTTCCCCCATCAGGTAGGAAGAATATTCCCTTACCCTTCCTTGGTCTCCTTGGCACAGATGGCCATGCCCAGCTTCTCAGTCTTCCAGGCTTCACATGTTAGATTGTTAGTGCTTCCAGAGCTGGGGGAAGAGGGTGGAGGTGGGGAGAAGCACTTGTGATTTCTTTGGAGATGTTGATTCCAACCTCAGTGCTGTCATTTGACTGTACCAATGAGTTTGTTAACCTCTCTGTGCCTTAGTTTCTAATCTCATGGAAGAGTTGCTTGCCAGAGCTGGGGACTACCTCCAGGGTCTTTGTGAGAACAAGAGTAGGAAAGACTCAAGAGCCTTTAGTACTAAGGTTCTCAGTGCTAAGAACATGCTGGAATCTCCTGGGAAGCTTTTAAAACATGTTGGTTCCCTTCCCTCACCCCCTGGCCAATTAAATCAGAACCTCAGGCAGCAATGTCTTGAGAAGCCCTGAATCATGCTTGGCAAGAAAAGATAGACACAATATAATTTGGAAGTATCCATAAAGTGCAAGTCTTTTAAAAAAACAAATTCTTTCTGCTCAGTGCTGGTGGCTGGCTACTCAGGACGATGAGATCTGAAGATTGTGCTTTGAAGCCGGCCAAGGAGGAAAGTCTGTGAGACTCCTATCTCCAATTAACTACACAGAGTTGGAAGTGGAGCTGTGACTTAAGTGGTAGAGCACTAACCTTGAGCAAAAAGAAAGCTCAGGGGCAGCACCCAAGCTTAGTTCCATCCTCAGGACTGGCACACATAAATTCTTTCTCAAAGCAAGTGTTTATTTCTTTAAGAGCAACCAGGTGTTACATACAATATTCCTAGTTCAAACAAGCAGTGTCAAAGCAGACTGTCTAGTTGCTTCTTATCATAGTATCTGGCAACTCAAACCTGCTTTTATCTACGTAAACAGTTTATGAAACCTTGGCAACAAATACAGATGAATTTATGAGTATTAAATATGTGCTAAAGTAAATTCATGAGTAATGAGAGAAAAACACCTTCTCACACTTGACTCCTATGGCAATTATAAAATCCATTTTACCAAGAATATTTAAGTGCCTTGGTGTTTGCAGGAGAGACTGGAGCAGATGCTGGTGTGTGGAGCAGCTGGCATGGAACTTCGCTTGCTTCCTGAGAGGCTGGTTGCATGTATTGAATATCTTGGGGTAGCAGAGCCACCAAACCAGCGTCAGGGAAGCTACAAATGTTTTCAATAATTGCGGTTGCATCTGTGGGTGGTTTCTGCCTGTGTGGTTGTGGTGGTGGGACAAGGACAAAGTGCCAAAGTAGGTTGCATGCAGCATGGGGAGCTATAGAGAAAATGCAGTGATGTACATGTCTCTGATCCTGGACACAGAATCTGTACCTGTGAGAAAATTGTTTTTGAAACAAGGCAGTTTTATGAATGTTTCAAATGCCTGGCACATCAAAGTAAAATAATATTTCAAGTGTTTTGCCTCTTCACTTTTTTCTTTTTTTGGTCCAAGACTGGGACTCAAAGTTAGTATATGACAGTTTGCCCATTGGCTGGCACTGTATCGCTGGAGTCACCCTCCAACCCCAGCCTCTTTGCTTCTATTATGTTACTGTGAGTGTTGAGTGTCTTAACATCACTATTCAAATCCATGGTACTAGTACCCATAGGCAGGCAGGGTTTCCCTGCAAACAGCCAGATTGTAAATACGCTAGGCTTTTGCAAACCAAATTGTGTTGCGACAGACAGACAGACAGACAGACAGACAGACAGACAGATAGATAGATAGATAGATTTTAATGTGCCAGTATTATGGTTTGAATTCAGGATCTCGCAGTCTCACTTGGCTTCTTTGCTCATAGCTGGTGCTCTAATACTTGAGCCCCAGATCCACTTCTGGCTTTTTTTTTTAAATAGTTAATTGAAGATAAGAATAGCATAGACTTTTCTGCCTTGGCTGGCACTGAATCTTGATCCTCAGATCTCAGTCTACTAAGTAATTAGAGTTACAGGCGTAAGCCATCAGTACCAAGCTGTATTTTTTCTTTTCCCCCAACTCTCAAAAAGTATAAAAAATGATTCTAACTAAGCTCATAGACTAGCCAGATAGGGCAGATTTTGCTAGCCCCATGGTTTTCACTCATTACATTTGCAACAGATTGTCCTCAAACCTCTGAGCTACTTTATGATGAAACACTCACTAATAAGCTACCAGAATCTGGTCCATCATTTCTTACAAGGTCTGCCAAGTGACTGAACCATGGTGTGTATGGTCAAGTGAGCTCCCTGCTTGTAAGGAGGGGCCATACTGAAGGGGCTTCTGAAATGAAGCTACTTCCATAAACTAGCCCAAAAAAATCAAGAGATCCTGAGTGATTCTTATAAATTCCACATACTTTAGTCACTTAAATCTCAGGACAGGAAGGGATTCATTCATGGGAAACTGCTATTCACTAGTAACATCACTAAACAGACTTCAGGCACAGAAAAGTGCTCTGCCAACCTAGAAACCCTGGTTTAGGCATGCTACATCAAAGAAATTTCAGATTATGATATGACACTCCACTGGAGTCAGCCGAGATTGCTTAGGCAAAGTGTAGGATTAAGCAGATATTTTTCTTTTTTTGTTGGCTATGGGGCTTGAACTCTGGGCCTGGGCACTGCCCCTCAGCTCTTCAGCTCAAGGCTAGTGCTCTACCACTTGAGCCACAGTGCTACTTCCTGTTTTCTGGTGGTTAATTGGCGATAAGAGTCTCACATATTTTCCTGCCTGGGCTGTCTTTGAACCACGATCCTCAGATCTCATGTTCAGATGATCTATTTCTATCTCCCCTTCTCAGCTGCCCAGTAGTCTTGCAAACCAAAAGCCTCAAAGCATGGTCAAGGTGCTGGGAAGGTGGCTCAGTGGTAGAGCGCTTGCCTTGCATGCATGAGGCCCTGGGTTCAATTCCTCAGCACCACATAAGCAAAAAGAAAAAAGCCAGAAGTGGCGCTGTGACTCAAGTGGTAGAGCACTAGCCTTGAGCTGAAGAGCTGAGGGACAGGGCGCAGGCCCAGAGTTCAGGCCCCACAACCGGACCCCCCCCCCCAAAAAAAAAGCATGGTCAAGTTCAGCCTTATAGCAATCATTATAGAAATGCAGAATCGAGCTGAAGCCCTTACAAAGCTCTATTACCAGAGAGCTGTTGTCGTTTGACCTTTCCAGTAATCCCATTGAGAAGCTTCAACATATTCTGAAAGCCACATACATGGGTAGATTGCTGTACATGCTCTGGAGAAATCTGAATTCCCATAGCCTTTACCTTTGACTGAGACACAACAGGAAGAAAAGACTAAAGCAGAGTTGTGAAATGCTTACCTGAGTTTTGCAGGCATGCACACAAAGCCAATTAACAATGGTTGAGAGATACTTGTGCCCAGGCATCTCAGAAAATTTCTGTTCAGTCATAAGCAGAGAATTCAGTAGACAAACATAGACCAAAAACATAGGCTGTACAGCTTTAGCTTAGGAAAGTCACCAAGCAAACCACAACCCTGTAACTAGTTCCCAAATTAGCCTCATATTAAGATTTCCCAGTGTTTTTATTAATTATGGGACATGAAAAGGACAAGTAAGGTACAGCCCATACAGAGAGAAAGGTAGAAAGTAGAAACTGTCCTGAAGAAGCCCAGTTGTTGGACCTATATTACATAAAGACTTTATCCAGCTACCTAAAAATGCTTACTAAACTGAGAGGTGCTGGGAAAGTAGTTCAGTGGTAGAGTGCTTGCCTCATATGTATGAGGCCCAGGGTTTGATTCCTTAGCACCACATAAACAGAAAAAGCCAGAAGTGATGCTGTGGTTCAAGTGGTAGAGCACTAACCTTGAGCTGAAGAGCTGAGGGAGTGTCCAGGTCCAGAGTTCAAACCCCATGACCGATAAAAATAAAGGAAGCCGGGCACTGTTTCCTCAAGCCTCTAATCCTAGCTACTCAGGAGGCTGAGATCTGAGGATCTCTGTTCAAAGTCAGCCCAGGCAGGAAAGTCCTTGAGACTCTTATCTCCAGTAAACCACTTAGAAAACCAGAAGTGGCACTGTGGCTCAAGTGGTAGAGCACTAGCCTTGAGCTGAAGAGCTGAGGGACAGCATCCAGGCTGAGTTCAAGCCCCACGACCAAAAAAAAAGAATCCTTCACAATCATGCCAGGGGACCACGCAGAGGCAAGCAGACACAGGAGACAGATTATTGTAAGGTTTATTAGAGGGGCCATATCTACCTGGGAGAGGGAGTACAAGGCATCTACTCCTATCCAGGTGGCAGGCAGGTCTGGGGGAGGAAGTAAGGGCGGAAGTGAGGTAAGTGCATGCGTGGGAAGGTCTGGGCAGAGAGCTGTATGGCTGGAACTCTAGGGCAGGAAGGAGCTTAGGTCTGGGGGATTATAATACTAACAGGGGGAAAGACTTCAGTTCAAAACTTTTTTTGGAAACTTCATCAAAAACTTGTTTTGATTCAAAGGACACCATGAGAAAAACAGACAACCTATGATATGGGAAAACGTGTAAACTGCATGCTTAAGAATGATGGGAAGACTATATAAAGAACTATTACAAGTCAACAATAAAAAGACAAGTCAAGCGGGGCACTGATGCTTCATGCCTATAATCCTATAGTGCTATCTACTCAAGAGAGGCTGAGATCTGAGGATTGTGGTTCGAAGCCAGCCCAGGCAGGAAGTCTGTGAGACTCTTATCTCCAATAAACTACTTTAAAAAGCTGGAAATGAGAGTACAGCTCGCCTTGAGCAAAAGAAGCTCAGAGACAGCGTCCAGTCCCAGAAGTCAAGCCCCAGGACCAGCACAAAAACACACAATGATCCGAGACTACCATACATGTAATAAGGTGGTTGTAATGAAAAGATAGACACAGCTACTAGTAAGGATAGAAAGAAATTGGAATCCTTACATGTTATTGGGGGATTTGTAAAAAGTCAAGTCAACTTTAAAATGGACAGTGTCTCTATATTTCTTCAAAGGTAAGCAACAGTTGACTCATAAAAAAATACTGACCATCACTGGTCAGTAGGGAAATGAAAATCAAAACTGTGATTCGAAGCTGAGCACTGGTGACTCATGTTTGTAATCCTAGTTACACAGGAGGCTTAGATCTGAGGATCTTGATTTAAAGCCAACCAGGGCAGAAAAATCTGTGAGACTCTAATTAATCATGCACACACAAAAAAAGCCAGAAATGGTGCTTTGGCAAAAGTGGTAGATGTTAGGAGCATTAGTTAGTTAGAAATGTGAACAAACCCTGGACTCAGTATGGTCTGAGGTATGCAAATGAACTGGCACTAACGGTGTTTAGAACTGGAACATACCTTAAAGATGATTGGATGGCCGGGTGCCGGTGGCTCACACCTGTAATCCTAGCTACTCAGGGGGCTGAGATCTGAGGATCGCAGTTCAAAGCCAGCCTGGGCAGGAAAGTCCATGAGACTCCTATTTCCAATAAACCACTAGAAAACCGGAAGTGGCGCTGTGGCTCAAGCGGTAGAGCACTCACCTTGAGCTGAAGAGTGCAGGGACAGTGCCCAAGCCCAGAGCTCAAGCCCCATGACCGACAGAAAAAAAAAAAAAAGATGATTGGATGTCAGGCTACAACTAGCAGCTTAAAAACAGAAAGAATTGAGGCTAAGTCACCACTGGGTGCAGGGTTAGGCTCTCTCTCCAGACATACCACAGAACCACCAAGCAGCCCTGACCCAAGTGTGACCCAACCTCGGACCAAGTGAAGTAGCAGGTGAGGCATCCTGGCACAGACAGGATGAACGTGGGGTAGGATTTGGTTAAGTGTGTGATAATGCAGTGAGTGATGTAATCTTGGAAGTAAGGTTCCAGTAAGTAAATACCTTTATGCATCTCAACCCATCCCTGTAATTATTTTGATACCATAGAGCTCTAGCCTTGAGCAAAAGAAGCTCAGACTCAGACTCAGCCCCCCTGACTCTGAGTTGAAGCCCCAGGACCAGCACAAAAACAATGATTCAAGACTACCATACATGTAATAAGGTGGTTGTAAGGAAAAGGTAAGCAATTTCAGTTACTGGTAAGGATATAAAGAAACTGGAATCCTTATGTGTTATTAGGGGGTTTATAAAATCATACAGCTTATTTGTAAAAGTTTCACTGATCCTCAAAAATTAAATGTAATTTTAGTTTACAACAGAAATTCCATTCTATGATTTCTTTTTTTCTTGCCAGTCCTGGGGCTTGAACGCAGGGTCTGGGCAAAATCCCTGAGCTTCTGTTGCTCAAGGCTAGCACTCTACCCCATTTGAGCCACGGTGCCACTTCTGGCTTTTTCTGTTTATGTGTTACTGAGGAATCTATCCGAGGGCTTCATGCATGTAGGCAAACACTCTACTACTAAGGCACATTCCAAGCCTAAGTCTTTAATTATTATAAAGATGATGTACAGAGGGGTTACAAT